CATTTCGGGTCAGACCATCAACGCGGTGGAGCGGCTGTTTCTCTACCCAGAGCTGATCACCAGCTTCATCTACAGGGTGACGGGCAGTCAGGTCAGGAGCTCCTCCTCCTCCTCCTCCTCCCCCCCCTCCTCCTTAGTTGCAGCCCTGATTATGAGTTAATCCATTCAGTTGTTTGTCTGTTTGTTAGTTCAGTGATTCGCTAATCTATTCATTTATTCATTCATTCATTCATTCGTCTGTTTAATCATTCATTCATATATTTCACTGTCCTTTCATTCCTTCTTCTGTTTATTTATCCATTTGCATCCATTTTGTTCTTCTATGCATTTGTTTTATCCATAAGTTCAGGAACATGTTCATTATTTATTCATTCATTCATTATTTTATTAATTCATTTATTCATTCTTTGCCTTGGTAATCAAAGTAGGGCTGCAACTAGCGATTATTTTGCTAATAAATTAATCTGTCGATTATTTTTTTCCATTAATCGATTAATAATCAGGCAGCCAAAGGTTCCTTAAAGAAGTTATTTTAATAAATTAAATCAGGTGAAACTAAAATGTTTCCATTGGACGAGTTCTGGATTATAGAGCAGATTGACAGAAAAAAAGTTATTTTATTTTAAATGCAAAATGTAAGTCTATTTTTTCACAATCTTGTTATAATTCCTGCTCTGAGCGAGTCGCTCTGTCAGCTAAAGGCAGGTTTTCTGTCTCTATACTCCAGTTAATGATTAATTGATTACTAAATTAGTTAATGATTATTTTCTATCAAAAATTAATCATGATTAATTGTTTCAACCCAAAACAAAGAAGTTTAAAGTTTTGTTCACATTCATTCATTCCTTCATTCCTTCATGTATCTGAGGGCGTATTTTAGGAAACGTAAACATCAGGACTGTTAGCAGCAGCAGAAACATCTGGATTCATCAGCTTCTGGAATAAAAGAGAAATAAAACGTAGAGCTGTGACCAATAATGATTCAAAACGCATTAAAATATTTGATTATTAAATAAATCTGGACTGGAAATAAAGTAACATCAATAGAACTTTTTCTAAAAAGTTAAAAAGAATTTAAAAAATTATTAAAAATTAAAAAATTTTGATTAAATTCAGCAGATTTTAAGCTAAAACAAAGATTGATCTTATATTTTATTAAGCTTCAGCATCTGCAGCTCTGAGGTTCTGTAGCTCTGAGTTGCTCCGGTGCCGTTGTAGCGCTGTTGTGGCGCCGCTCCGGTGCCATTGTGGCGCCATTGTGGTCCGGTTGCCGTGGAAACCAGACTCAGTTCCGTCTGTTCCTCCAGGATTACGTGGAGCCCATCTACTTCTACATCGGGACGGTGTTTGGCCTGCAGGCCGTCTGCGTCACGGCGCTGTTCGTCTGCAGCTGGGTGATGAGCGGAACCTGCGTGGCCGGCATGCTGGCCGTCTCCTGGTTCGTCCTGAACAGGTGAGAGGAAGCCCCGCCTCCTCACGCGGGCCGGTCCTGAACCAAACGGGGAAAAAAGGCGTGGCCTGTGTTTGTGCTGCAGACAGGACGCCACCAGGGTGGAGCAGGGGATCCCTCTGCGGGAGAACTGGGCCCTGCCTTATTTCTCCGTCCAGGTGGCGGCGCTGACCGGCTTCCTGAGCAACAACATCAGCTCTGCCTCTGAGGTGGGTCGATCCGCTGGAGCAGAACCGCCGGGTGGTTCTGGCCCTGCTGATCCTGCTGCTCTGTTCCTCTGCAGATGTTCTGCTACCTCACCATGAGCGCCTCCACCTTCACCTTCCTGCTGCTCTGGGAACACGGACACTACGTCCTGTTCGTCCAAGGCCTCTGCTTGCTCCTGCTGGACTCGCTGGACCTGGTTCCGCAGCGGAAGGTAAGCATGGCGCCGCTGTCGGCTCGGATAGACAGAACCGGTTTAACGGACCCACTGGGGAACCATCAGACGGTGATAAACCGGGCCCGTTTGGACCTCCATCCATCCACCAGAACCTGCAGGTCACAGGAAGACTCTGCTGGACCCAGTAAAGTCCACTTTCCAGGTTTTCCTTCAGATTCTGCTTAGTTTCGTAAAATTAAACTTAAATAAAAGCAGAACTGTAAAACAGTAAAATATGTTACAACATTCATTTAATAAGAAAATATCCAACCACTCAATAAGAAATTTGTTGATTTTTAGCAACAATGATTTATAAAAAAAAAGAAAAAAACTAAACTACGAAATAAAAATTGTTATTCAGATAAACAGATCGATAACCAAAAATCTTTCAAAACCAAAATATAAGTTAGATTCAAAACACTATTTATATAAAAAGTCCAAAATTGCCAATTTTTATTTTAGGAATAATGTCCAGAAAGGAGTTCCGTATCGTCCAAACCAAAAACAAAACTGTCCTGGAAGTGTTTTTCCTTTAAATTAAAATAATGAAAACTCCAAATGTCAAACTCCTGAGGTTGCTGGTTCGAGACCCACCTCAGACTTTTGAAAGTTGCGATTATATTTAAGTATTTTGGCTAATGTGACTAATTTTTTTATTGGTTTGCCGTACTCTGCCAAATTAGATTGGCTGGTTTAACCAAATGAATGGTTGAACACATAACATCCAACCCCATTAAAACCAAAAACTGTGGAAAAACTATAATGCTTGAATAAAATGACTAAAACCTTTTATTTTGCTAATCAAATCGCCAATTTGCCGATTTAACACTTAAAAAACTTAGATTTTAAGATACACACCAATCATTTCAAACTTTTTCAAAGGAACTTAAATAGGGAAAAAAAAGAAAAAAATTGCAAAAAATCCCAGATTCTATTACTAACTGTAGTTCTGCGTTCCACCAGTAGGTGGAGACAGTTTCACCTGAAGCTTCATGAACTGTGAGGATCGTTGAAGCAATCAGCCCAAATGGTTCAACGAGGCTTCATGTCACCATCACTACATTCAGCCGAACCAAATCTCCCGCTGCACAGATCTGACGGTGTGCGTCTTCGTCTCCGACTGAGCCAACGCGCTCCGACGCACGCCGACGCACGCGCCTCTTCTGATCCACTAATTCATCAGCACAGCTCTCCTTTCCTTCTGTATTGCAGAGGAGCTGCTGCGCTTGGACAACTATAAACGACAGGCAATGGGTGGAAATACGTCACCAATCCGACGAAAAAAAATTACGCTTTACTCATCATTAAAGATGAAATATTTATCTTTCACATCTAATATAAAATATATACATATATTTTAAATGTATTCTTAAAGTTATATTAAAAAATGTATATATATGTTATGTTTTAATCAGGTCATTTGGTGGGTGGGGCGGCGGCGGCGCACTAGCACCCTCTATTGGCAAGCTTCCACTGGTTCTGACCCAGTAGAATATCAGAACCTTTTCTTTTTGTCCGGTTCTGGGTCCAGTTGTAGGACTTCGGTCTCATTCCTGCCTGGTTTCTGACCAATCAGAGCCCAGCGTGCAGAGGGACACGCCCACCAGAAACTGGACCTGTAGATTCTGTTCGGTCTCTTCGATCTCCAGAACCAGCAGCAGAGCCGTTTACCTGCAGAAGGTTCTGGTTTCTGCGGTGGGTCGCCACGGCAACCGGTTCCTTCCTGAGATTGATGTCAGGCTGCGTTTTGATTGGCTGGTTTTTATTTCTGTTATTCCTCCTTTCCGCTCGTTTGGAGTCGGAACCAGATTCTGCCTGGTGGGTTTGTTATGAAGTTCTGTCCGGTTTGATCAGAACCGTAGAGACGACCAGCAGCTGGGACCGGTCCGTCTGACCCGTTTGACCCGTCTGATCCGTCTGACCCGTTTAACCCGCCTGACCCGTTTAACCCGTTTAACCCGTCTGTCCTTCCTCCGCGCAGACGGCCGACATCAACAAGATCTACCTCAGCTCCCTGGTTCTGGTCTACCTGTTCCAGTTCCAGAACTCCGCCCTGCTCGCCTCGCCGCTGCTCTGCCTCCTGATTGGCTCGGCCGTGGCTCGGTCCTTCCAGGTAGCCCCTCCCCCCTGCAGCCCTGATTGGTTGGTGGAGGGTTTCTGTGCCTGAATGAGGCTGTTGTTTCTGTTGCAGAGGAAGATGAGGATGGGTCCTCTGCTCGCCCGCGTGATGAAGCTGCTGCTGCACTTCCACCTGGTTTTCACCGCTGGGATCAGCTTCGCTTACCTCATCAAGGTAAATCAGTAGGACGCCGCCGCTCTGCGCTCAGCTCACTGATGCATCTGAACCGCCTGGCTTTGTTTTCAGAAGCTGTCCCCCGTCGGCAGCAGCGACTTCACCCTGAAGCTCCTGGAGGTCAAATTTGGGCTGAACACCACGACGTGAGTCAGAAGCTTCCTGTCGGGGCTCCGCCCCCTTCATCAAAACCTGCCGTCTCATTTTTCCTTCTGCTCCAGAGACTTCATCACCAACTTCCTGCTGTGTCAGGACGGGCTGCGGGCCGCCGGTCAGAACCTGTTCCTGCGGCTGACCCAGACCTCCGTCCTCCCCTTCTACGTCCTGGTCCTCGCCGTCTGCCTGCTGTCCACGCTGCAGACCGTCTGCAGGAAGCTCAGGTGAGGCGCCTTGCAGAGAGCCGAGCACCGAACGCCGTCAGGACGGGATCAGGAACATCTGGATGAGAGGACAGTGTTAGGGCTGAGTGGATTATAAATTAAAGGTTTTAAAATTAGGACTTTAAAGCCTTAAGATTAGCAGATAAGAGTAAACAAATTAGGAGATTAAAGGCATAAAATGATTAAATAAAAGTCGTTAGATGAATAAAAGTCATAATCTGGGGAGAATAAAGCCGCAAATTTACAAGATTAAAGGCATGAAATGAGGAGAATTACAAATTAAAGGTGGTAAAATTAGGAGATTAAAGGCATAAATGTAGAGAATAACGTCCGAATGTTTCGAGTATAAAGTGATTCTGTGGTCCTGATAGCTGTTCTAGGATCCAATGATCTAGGCTCTATGTGTGATTTTGGCATTTGACCAATCAGATGAGCCCATGAATGATTTATTACCTACTTTATCTTTTGAAAAAACGTAAACCAGTTAAATGAGTACGCCAAGTTAAAAAAGTAAAAAACTGTCATTGCCTGTATCGGCATTAAAGCTTTAACATTATGCTGGAGAAAAAAAATATGAATTTCATAGATTTCTTATTAAAGATCTTTTGTTATTTATTCTTAAAGGAAAAGTCCGTTAATCCAGGAATAATCATTGGATCATTATTTATACCTAAAACTAATACATTTGCAGTGATTTAATTAATTTAGCGTTAATCAATAAAAAAAACATTAATTTTCGTTGCGATCACTGAGTCTGGGAGCGGCCATTTTTGCCTAAACATAGTAGCCCCTCCCTCCTGCCATCTTCCAGCAGTGACGTCACGGTGCGGTAAGCCTAGCGCCATTCTCCCCGCTTTCCAAGCTAAATCAATGGGAACTACTAGACACATCTGCAATCAACAACAATTATTGAAGATTTCCAGAGGACTTCACCATTGAAATTCACCAGAGCTATAGTGAAACTGACAATGCCCCCGTGCATGGCAGCTGGATGCTGGAATACATCGGGTAAAAGTGAAAAAAAGAGTTATTCCACCTTTCTGATTCCTGATCCTCCACGGACGGGTTGGTCGTTGGATCGCCAACTTGAAGAGGGAGGATTTGCCATCGAACTTCTGGCCAGAGAAAAAACCCGTAATATGTAGCCAACATTTGGAAGAAGAATGTTTTCAAGATGACTTGGATAATAGCGCGTTGTGACAAACACCAGATACAGCACTGGGACTTGATCAACAGCCGATACCGCACCGTGACAATGTCACTAACCAGTAGGTGGCAGTAGTGTTCTTTGACAAACATGGATGCCTCCAGTAAAGCACATTCACATGAAAATTACTCTGAATTAAAAACACTGATCATTTATTGAACAGGATGGAATCATTTCAGATTTAAAGAACTTTCAGAAGTTTGGATTCTGAATATGAGCGACTTTTCCTTTAATCTATCATGGCTGCTTCTTTTTATTACAATGAGCTTAATTTTGCCATCAAAATTAAAATATTTTTTTAATGTTATTAAAGTAATAAGGTCTGGATTCCAATAAAACTATAAAGGGTTAAAGATCCTTAAAGGTTCTGTTCTGTTAGGCGACGGGTTTGATAAACAATCGATCCTTTAATCAGAACTGGGAGCAGAACTTTGCTTTATTCCAGTTGGTACTGATCCGGTTCCCAGACAGCAGGAAGTAGGATTTTAAAGGGGCTCTGATTGGCTGCTGTGTCCCTTTGTGATGTCATCAGAGATGTGTGTTTTTTTGGAGGTTGGATCTACTGGAGAGTCTAAAAGCTGGTAAACCTTTCTGTCTCTCCCAGCGGTCAGCCAATGAGCAGCAGCCTCAGGCCGGAGGACGGACCAATCGGAGAGCAGCCTGCGGTGGCCTACCACGTGTTTCACACCCTGTTCTTTGGCGCCCTGACGCTGCTGTTTGACGGGTGCGTCCACGGCCGGGTTGCCTGGAGCTGAAGACGTGCAGCTTCTAACCGTAACTGTCCTCCTCTCCGTCCTGCAGGGTGAAGTATTTATGGACGCCCTACGTCTGCATGTTCGCGGCGTTCGGGGTGTGTTCTCCGGACCTCTGGATGACGGTGTTCAGGTGGATCAAGCTCAGATCCATCCACCCGGTGGTGTTGGTCAGTACGCCACATGATGCCTACCTCAGCAAACATTTATGTCTAGATCTGGTCCATCTAGATTTGATAAAACTAAAAAATAAACTGATCTGGAAAAAGTTTCTCTACATTTAAAGTCATAATCAAGCAGAAATGGAAACATCAGAATTTGTTTGTTTTAATAATATGACAAATCAGTTCTATTCAGTTTATTTCTATAGCTCCAATCCACATCATGTCATCTCAGGTCACTTTATAGATCCAGTTCACCAGATCATCCAGTCAGATTGATTCAAAGTTTTCTATCTAAGGAAAACCAGCTGATTGCATCGACTCATTGACTCTTCAGCAATCCCTCACACTAAGCATGCTTGTAGCGACAGTGGAGAGGAAAAACTCCCTTTGAACAGGAAGAAACCTCCAGCAGAACCAGGCTCAGTGTGAGCGGCCATCTGCTGAGGCCCACTGGGGTTCAAGGAGACAGAAGCAGACATAGAAAAAGAAGCATAGATACAAAAGGCAACCAGCTCCACAGGCGGCCCCGTCCAGGAAACACACAGCCAGGCAGACGAGCTCCGAGCCAGCTCCCATGTCAGAGGATGAAGAGAGCACATCCAGTTAGTCACAGTCAGAGAAACAGGACCACACTGGAAAACAGGCCAAGCTCCAACATCTAGAAACAAAGGTGTTGATGGCAGCAGCACAGCTGATATTTCTCTCCAGGATGGAGTCACAGCCAAACAGGAACAGACCAGATGAAGCTACTATGAGAAAAAGCAGAGAGAGCAGAACGTTAGAGTTTAAAGGAGAAGTTCGGTTTTTTACACTTTAAGCCCATTTTCTGTAGTGTCCAGGATGAAATCGAATGAAGGACACCAAAATTTTGACAATTGCTCCTGTCTCTGCTTTTTGGCTCATGCAGAATCACCCCCTGGCTGCTTTAGAATGGCTAGCATAGAGCATGTCCGATAATGTCCTTAAAACAACCTTAAACGTTCCTGTAGTGTTTTATTTAGCATTTTGTAAATCCCATTGAGTTCTGTAGGAATAGTCAATATTCCGCTGCCACCGGAAACGGAAATGGGGCCTGTTTACACAGTTGTAGTCTTTTCGCTTCACTCTGTGTACTCCGACGTCGAGGTGCTAACGTCTCTGTTAAACACTTTAAAAAACTCTGAAAATGGAATACGAAAGGTGGATTCTTGATTCTCGACGTCGGAGTACACAGAGTGAAGCGAAAAGACTACAACTGTGTAAACAGGCCCCATTTCCGTTTCCGGTGGCAGCGGAATATTGACTATTCCTACAGAACTCAATGGGATTTACAAAATGCTAAATAAAACACTACAGGAACGTTTTTTCTTCACGAAACTTTTTTTGGAACGTCGTTGAACAGCGCTGACGACACGGTGAGTAGCATATTTAAAAAAAAGAACGTTTAAGGTTGTTTTAAGGACATTATCGGACATGCTCTATGCTAGCCATTCTAAAGCAGCCAGGGGTTGATTCTAAATGAGCCAAAAAGCAGAGACAGGACCAATTGTCAAAATTTTGGTGTCCTTCATTCGATTTCATCCTGGACACTACAGAAAATGGGCTTAAAGTGTAAAAAACCGAACTTCTCCTTTAAACTAACAGATTCTGCAGAGTGGGAGAATAGAGATAGAATGATGAAAAAGGGGTCCCTATGTCCTCCAGCAGTCTAAGCCTATAGCAGCAGAACTATAGAGATAGAATGAAGCAGCAGCCTTTGACATCAGGAGCAGCTGCTCTGCAGGCTGATTCGCCGTGGGTTCATCAGATCCACGGCGAATCATCTGGTCCAGGCTGACCAACAGTGTTTCAGTTTCCAGCTGATGACGTAACCGGCTGCTGTTCTGTTTCTCTCCAGTCTCTGATTCTGAGCACGGCCGTCCCGACCATCATCGGCTTCAGTCTGTGGAGAGAGGTGAGGAACGGCTGTTCATTCCCAGGTTCCTGCAGGGAAAGCGTTTGGAGACGCTTTCTGTGGTTCCACCTCAGAACCTCTTTCTATTGGACGGTTCTGTGATCCTGGTGGGAAACTGATTAATCTGATAAATCGCCTCAAAAAGGGGAAAAAATCTGTCATCTCTGGATTAGAGATGGAAGCAAATGATCAATCTCTGATTGTGGATTAATAATCTGTTAGACTGAATCTGTTCCATCAGATTAGTTGGTTTTGTATTTCTAGTTGTAATGTTACTGTAGTCCAGCAGAGGGCGCAGCTCTGCATTCCTAAGCAGAGTCTCCATTCATGGATCAGAACCATGTTTGGATCCAGAGTAGAGACTGACATTTTTTCGGGAATCCCATGGGTCACGGGATTCCCGTGGGATTCCCGTTGGATGGGAGTCAGTATTAGTAACGATCACGGGATTGGGACGGTACAGGGTTAAACATTAACGGGAGCAGATGCGAGTTCTAACGTCCCTCTGAGGGGAACCAGAACCAGAACCAGCTCCGGTTTAAAGCTCTGCTAGCAGAACCAAAGCTCTCCCCGCTCTGACTGGTCTCACAGAGCGACACACCCTGTCTATTAATGATAGATCTACATCTCCTCTCTGGAAATCAGAAGAGTTTCACAGATTTAATGCATCCATATTTATTTAGTAACGTAATAAGTTCCTGTTTTGTTTTATTTTAGAAGTTTAAAATGTTTTTATTCTGTCAGTATTAATACAGCGGGATCAATAAACTACTTTTTTATTTTATTCAGCTGATTATAAAACATATTTATCCTCCATGTTCTGAAAGATCCTTTGATGAACTTTACATAGATTGGTTGATCTAGAAGCGCCTCTCTGATCTTGTCCTCAGGTCTGACGACCTTCTTCCTCATAGATAATCTCCTCCAGATAAACCGTCTAATGACCTTTCCCCTCTGCCCCCCCCTGCAGTATTACCCCCGGGTGTTAGCGGATCTAGCTGATCTGCAGGAGTTCTACGACCCGGACACCACGGAGCTGATCGGCTGGATCAGGTGTTTCCTCAGGACTTCCTGTATCCGCAGGTCTGTGGCGTTCAGTCGGGCTAACGTTGTTTCTGCGCAGGTCTCAGGCGCCGGCCGTGTTCGCCGGCAGCCCTCTGCTGCTGGGAACCATAAAACTCTGTTCTGGGTCGGCCGTCACCAGTTTGCCCATCTACTCTGACATGGACCTGCTGAGGAGGAGCGAAGAGGTGAGCTTCTAGATCTAGGATCTAGATTCCTCTAGATCCGTTGTTTTCTGACCCTTCGTTCTGTTTAAAGTGGATCTTTGTTCAGGAAGGAGATTTAAAGCCATGTTTACAGATTCCTGCTGGGAAAGAATGACTCATCAAATCTGTGGAAGAATGACTCATCAAATCTGGAAGAATGACTCATCAAATCTGCAGAAGAATGACTCATCAAATCTGCAGAAGAATGACTCATCAAATCTGGAAGAATGACTCATCAAATCTGCTCTGACACATTTTAGTGAATCCAGGTTTTAACAGAACAACTTTATTCTGCAGGAAACCGATCCACCGGTTTATTTATCAGCGCTAACAGCGTCAGGTCTTCTGCTCTCACTGCGTTCCTATGGGGAGAGAAAGCCCACAGCATCACAGGCCCTCTGCTGTACCCAGCAGTGGGACTGACCACATTTCACTCATGGTCAGACTGGACTTCAACTAGTTCTGCTACAACCGGTCCCAGGTCCTGTTAAAGTTCTGGTAGAACCGGTCCCGGGTCCGGTTAAAGTTCTGCTAGAACCGGTCCCGGGTCCGGTTAAGGTTCTGCTAGAACCGGTCCCGGGTCCGGTTAAGGTTCTGGTAGAACCGGTCCGGGGTCCGGTTAAGGTTTTGCCTAGAACCGGGTCCGGTTAAAGTTCTGCTAGAACCGGTCCCGGGTCCGGTTAAGGTTCTGGTAGAACCGGTCCCGGGTCCGGTTAAGGTTTTGCTAGAACCGGTCCCGGGTCCGGTTAAAGTTCTGCTAGAACCGGTCCCGGGTCGGTTAAGGTTTTGCTAGAACCGGTCCCGGGTCCGGTTAAACTTCTGCTAGAACCGGTCCCGGGTCCGGTTAAGGTTCTGGTAGAACCGGTCCCGGGTCCGGTTAAGGTTTTGCTAGAACCGGTCCCGGGTCCGGTTAAAGTTCTGCTAGAACCGGTCCCGGGTCCGGTTAAAGTTCTGCTAGAACCGGTCCCGGGTCCGGTTAAGGTTCTGCTAGAACCGGTCCCGGGTCCGGTTAAGGTTCTGGTAGAACCGGTCCGGGGTCCGGTTAAGGTTTTGCTAGAACCGGGTCCGGTTAAAGTTCTGCTAGAACCGGTCCCGGGTCCGGTTAAGGTTCTGGTAGAACCGGTCCCGGGTCCGGTTAAGGTTTTGCTAGAACCGGTCCCGGGTCCGGTTAAAGTTCTGCTAGAACCGGTCCCGGGTCGGTTAAGGTTTTGCTAGAACCGGTCCCGGGTCCGGTTAAACTTCTGCTAGAACCGGTCCCGGGTCCGGTTAAGGTTCTGGTAGAACCGGTCCCGGGTCCGGTTAAGGTTTTGCTAGAACCGGTCCCGGGTCCGGTTAAAGTTCTGCTAGAACCGGTCCCGGGTCCGGTTAAAGTTCTGCTAGAACCGGTCCCGGGTCGGTTAAGGTTCTGGTAGAACCGGTCCCGGGTCCGGTTAAAGTTCTGCTAGAACCGGTCCCGGGTCCGGTTAAGGTTCTGGTAGAACCGGTCCCGGGTCCGGTTAAGGTTTTGCTAGAACCGGTCCCGGGTCCGGTTAAAGTTCTGCTAGAACCGGTCCCGGGTCGGTTAAGGTTTTGCTAGAACCGGTCCCGGGTCCGGTTAAACTTCTGCTAGAACCGGTCCCGGGTCCATTTAAGGTCCTGGTAGAACCGGTCCCGGGTCCGGTTAAGGTTCTGGTAGAACCGGTCCCGGGTTCGGTGAAGGTTCTGGTAGAACCGGTCCAGGTTCCGGTAGAACTGTTGTTGGACTGAAGTTCTGGTTCTCCTTCAGTTGCTGCTTCCTGTCTCTGTAACGTCGTCTGGTGAGTGAAACGTTTTCACCTGCTGCTTCATCTGTGCTCACAGACCTACCAGGTTTACTCCATGAGGTCTGCGGAGGACGTCTACAAATGTCTGACGGCTCAGAAGACCACCTACGTCATCGTGGAGGAGTCCATCTGCAATGACGTCCAGCTGAAGAAGGGCTGCAGACTCAAAGACCTGCTGGACGTCTCCAACAGACACGTGAGTCATCACCTCCGCAGACGCCGCCATGTTGCCGCCGCTGCGCTCACCGGCTGCACGTTCTGACCCGTTAGGTCGTCCACGACGGATCCCGGATGTTCTCCTCCTCCAAGCATGGCCGCTTCTGCCAGGAGGTCAAGATGAACTACTCGCCCTACACCAACTACTTCACCCGGGTGTTCTGGAACCGTTCGTACCACGTCTACAAAGTCAACTCCGTCATCTCCTTCCAGTTCTGACTGCAGAACCTCTGAGGGGTTCTGGACGCCCACTGCAGGTCCATCTGCTGGAGGATGGAGGTCTCTTAGTTTGGGCTGAGATCACAGAGGTTCTGCTCTTTTGGAAGCTTTGGGTCACATGTTCTGCAGAACCCTGGAGGTCTGATGGAGCAATGACTCGGTCTGGACTTCCTGCACAAGATGTAGGACTGGATGGATGGATGGATGGATGATGAAGGATGGATGGATGATGGATGGATGGATGGATGGATGGATGGATGGATGATGGATGATGGATGGATGATGAAGGATGGAAGGATGGATGGATGAATGATGGATGGATGATGGATGGATGGAAGGATGGATGGATGGATGGATGGATGATGGATGATGGATGATGAAGGATGGATGGATGGATGGATGGATGGAAGAATGGATGAAGGATGGATGATGGATGGATGATTGATGGATGATGATTGATGGATGGATGGATGATGGATGATTGATGGATGATTGATGGATGATGGATGATTGATGGATGATGGATGATTGATGGATGATGATTGATGGATGGATGGATGATGGATGGATGGATGGAAGAATGGATGAAGGATGGATGATGGATGGATGATGGATGATTGATGGATGATGATTGATGGATGGATGGATGATGGATGATTGATGGATGATTGATGGATGGATGGATGGATGATGGATGGATGATGGATGGATGGATGGATGGATGATGGATGGATGGATGGAAGAATGGATGAAGGATGGATGATGGATGGATGATTGATGGATGATGATTGATGGATGGATGGATGATGGATGATTGATGGATGATGGATGATTGATGGATGATGATTGATGGATGGATGGATGATGGATGGATGGATGGATGGAAGAATGGATGAAGGATGGATGATGGATGGATGATGGATGATTGATGGATGATGATTGATGGATGGATGGATGATGGATGATTGATGGATGATTGATGGATGATGATTGATGGATGGATGGATGATGGGTGGATGGATGGAAGAATGGATGAAGGATGGATGATGGATGGATGATGATTGATGGATGGATGGATGATGGATGATTGATGGATGATTGATGGATGATGAAGGATGGATGGATGATGGATGGATGATTGATGGATGATGAAGGATGGATGATGGATGATGGATGATGGATGGATGATGGATGATGGATGATTGATGGATGATGATTGATGGATGGATGGATGATGGATGATTGATGGATGATGAAGGATGGATGATGGATGGATGATGGATGATGGATGGATGGATGGAAGAATGGATGATGGATGATTGATGGATGATTGATGGATGATGGATGATTGATGGATGATGAAGGATGGATGATTCTATCTTATTTTATCACCGTGAACAGCGTCAGGTCTGACCACATTTCCCTCATGTTCAGACTGGACTTCAACTAGTTCTGCTAGAACCGGTCCAGGGTCCAGTTAAGGTTCTGGCAGAACCGATCCCGGGTCCGGTTAAAGTTCTGGCAGAACCGGTCCAGGGTCCGGTTAAGGTTCTGGTATCATTAAATGATACATTGCAGAAATTTTCCAAATCATCATTTTTCCAGAACATTTTGTCCAAAGTTGCAGCTGCTGAATCCTGGATGGGTTCTGATGAAGAATCTCAGAGCGGTTCTGGTTCCTGATCCTGAGTCCTTTGGGCCGATGATCCTGATGTTTGGATGCTGAGGCTCTAAAGCCCGTAGCGTTCTGTCCCATCATGGTCCAGTTCTCAGTCCTTCATCCAAACTGGACCTGAAGGTTCTGTTCAGCATTTAGAGCTACAGAAACACAGCAGACTCTTCCTTCTCCTGAACATGTGGACCCTGAAGGAGGTGTGATGCTGTGGGCTCCCCAGCTGCTTGGTCACTATGGCAACCACTGACTCAGCTTTTTCTTTTCCCTCTTTTTGTTTCCACCAATTATGACTATGATCAGATTATTATCAGTTGTGCCTTCTGCTCTGTCCTCTTTTTTTATTTAACTCCTCGGTTCTGGTTCATTTTTATACGGAAGTATTTTTTATTTTTTATTCCTAATCTGCAGATTTAATCTAGAAGATCGTTAATGGACTGAAATAAAAATGAAGTAAAGTGTTCAGTAAGTGTTTGTTAGTTCCTGCCTTCCTTTCTGTTGCAGGACGTTTGTTTTTATCGGTCAGATTCTGATTTTCTGGTCTCTGAATGTTACATGTGAACCCAGTCGTTCTGATGATGCAACCATCAGCCGCTCCGCTCCGCTCAGACCTTCTGAGCTGCTGTTAGGAATTAAAAGCGTGATCTGATCACAACGTTTGAGTCTCTGTGGTTCTTCTCATCCGGTTTCTGCTCAGATTCTGGATCTTCTTAGATCTTGGAGTTGATCTCTGGTTGGTTCCTTCTGATTCCCACAGAGGGGGTCAGATCAGAGGAGTCCAACATTTCAGGGTTTCCCCCTGTGAACCAGAACTTTTAATAAAAAAAAAGAAAAAGATCTGCTATTTCCGGACGATCAGGATCTACTGAAGCCTTTAGACCTTCCTGGCAGGGGCGGATTTACCTTTAGGCAATACTAGGCAGCTGCCCAGGGCCCCAAGTTCCTGGGGGCCCCATAAAACTGTTTCCATGTATGGTTAATATAATGTTTCCTTAATTATGTTTCTGATAAAAATCATTTGGCTAAAATACCATCAGAACGCTGATAATAAGTGTGTCCCCAAATTTCCTAAATCCGCCCCTGCTTCCTGGATGTCATGAAGCATCTTCCCTGAGGCTGAACTTCTCTTTTTGATGAAAGCTAATTTTAGCTGCAATATTCTCAGCAGCAGTTTCTAATCCCAGATTTTCTACATTAGCAGCACTAATCTCAGCCTCCATTAGCAGTTAGCCTGCTAATTTACTTCCTGTTTATGATGGAACTTTGAAAGTTTTGTCTTTATATTATGTTCACCTTGTTTATGTTCTGTTTTTTGTTCACTCTAAAAACTTTTCGTTGCTATATAATTACGATTTTGTACTTATTTACGAATTTCTTTTTAATGAGGGTTTACTATGATCGGTCTTTTAATGAACATAAACATTATTTTAAGTCCCTCCCATTAGCGGAGCTGGTTTTTTGCTGCAGGTTGTTCATTAGACCTCTTAAAAACAAAAACAAAAAAAAACAATTTTTGATTTCATAGCAGACTGGATGATTTCCCGTTTTTTGGAACCTGACAAACTCAAAAATCCCAATAATTTCCTTCTCAGACGATGTGTAAGTCTGCCCCACAGGCACTGAACTGATAACCGCCAAATAATGAAAAACCGTCTTTTTTTAAATTTTATATCTTTTTACATAAAAAATAGGAAATTGTATCAGCTTTCTTCTGATATAACTGCCATCTTTACATGGTTATGGCATCGAAATGTATAATAAAAACGTGTACACTACCCCCAAAATTTGCGATTTACGTAATTTAATTTTTATTTTCTGTTTTACGGGTATTTATTGAAAATACGTAATGCACATGTAAATATATGCAAATAAAAAAAATTTTTTTTTACATGGACTTGTTGAGAATTTTATTAACTTTTAAATGTTATTATTGCCAACTTTGAAAGGCATTTTTTATTTTTTATTTTATATATAAGTAATAGAAAAATTCTTTACCCTACCCCCTAAAATTGTGATAGTTTTTTCGTTATCTAGACAGTTATAAGTTTAGGGCCTTTGGGTCAGGCAGAAGTACGGAAGAGGATTAGGGCCATTGAAAAAATAAAAAAAAGTGAACTGATTTTTAAATATTTCAGTTTAATATGGGAAAAAAAATCATAATTCTGACTTTAATCTCAGAAGTCTGAGACAAAAGTCATTATTCTGACTTAATTCATATTAAACTGAAATAAAATGTAAAAATCAGTTAACTTGTTTTTATTTTTCAGGGGCTCTAATCCTCTTTCTGAGCTGAATCATCATCTGAGAAGGATGTGATTGAGATTTTTTAACTTCTCAGATTCCAAAGAACAGAAAATCTTCCAGTCTATGAAAATCAAAATTTATTTATTTGAAGAGGTCTAATGTTCATGAACGGCTACAAATATGCGCAGATGCTACGCAGTCTGTCTTCCCTTGATGACGTAGCGGAACCGGAAGTAGAGCCGTCGATCCGCGGGATGAATTATGTGAGAATCGGTTCCTACAGCTTCCCCGGGACGTTTTTTAATGTTTTTATTCACATTTGGATCTTTTAGGCTCTGATTGTCCATCCTGGTCAGTGGAGGTAAGGCTGAAGGTTCCTGTTTGACCGGAAACGACCGGAAACTGATGTTAGCAAAACAAAGCTGCTGCTAAACTACCGCAGCTTTAGCTTTGTTCTCTTTTCTCAGAATAAAATAGAATAAAACAGAATAGAAATTCTCTCCTGGTGTTTTCAGCAAAAAAAAAAAGATGATAGAAAAACTGGTCACACAAACGTAGACCATAGAAAAATGTCTAAGAATAACTTAATAGTGAAGAGTTAAAATATTAGCAATATAAAACTGGAGAATAAATAACAAATAAACAGCTATGGACATTTTTACAGCAATTTAAAATAGCAGCAACATCAGAGATGTGCAAAATGACAGAAAAATGTTATTAAACTGCTAGAAACTGCAAAATCTGCATGAATTTAACAATTTATTGATGTTGATGGGAACATTGGTGGTTCTAGAGTCTTCCAGCTGCTGGGAGGAAGGATCTGTGGTCACTACTGATCACTAGTGATCACTAGTGATGGTGACACGAAGCCTCATTGAACCGTTTGGCCAAATTCCTTGAATTATCCCCACAGTTCATTAAGCTTCAGGTGAACATGTCGCCATCTACTGGTGGAGTGCAGAACTACAGTTAATGTAATATGGGGTGAAATTTCTGCCAAAACATTGCACACAAAAAAGCATGTTGCACTCAAATAAATCTCATTGCTCACAAATAAAACTCTCATCAAATGTCCCATAATCAATGTCATAGATCTGAAGAAAGCAGATCAGAAAGCAATACCTAACAGTAATGTTACAACTAACCAGCGGTTTGCTCAGATTAACCATCAATACATTGTTTAATCTAAGCAAAATTGTTTTAACCAACTAGATTGGTTGGAAAAACAACCAATCTATTCTTAGAATCTATCCAACTGACCGTAACTCTCCTACAAACTCCCACATCTGGACTGAATCTGTCGAAGTTCGAGCTGAACCGCTTCCTGAAGCGGTCATGTGGTAGCGTCGCTTCAGACGCCATCTATTTTAGCTCCTCCCCTAAATGAAGCAAGCCTCGTTATGCGTGTGGAGTCAGGTTCAAATTTATTCCACATCCTCAGACGGAGAGATGGGCTCTGACTGGGCAAAGCTCAGTACATACTTTTATAGAGCAACTCCCCCCAGGGGAACCAACCCACCCCCCGTATAAAGAACTTTCTCACACTATCTGGAGAAAGTTATTCCTTAGGCTGCATTCAATCTAATTTCACTGGCAGATTAAACTCGGATTAAATCATCGCATCCTGATTGTTTTTGTTTTGAATGTCTGATAAAGCAGGAGACGATCATAACGCTACAGTTATCTGACGGTTCGTCGTTATCATTGTTTTATTACGAATTGTGATAATAATAGTTTCTAGAGAAGCTGATTTAGATGCAGCTGATGATGATGTAGCGCTTCAGGAGCTGGAGGCATTAGTAGCAGCTCAACAACAACTGCTGCTAACCTGATCAAGGCTGCGCTTTAAAAAATTAAATAGTCTAGAGAGCTGTTGTAAACTAAATTTCTTTTTGTTTGCACTTGTGTACAAAATGACAGAATAAATCTAAGTCTAAAGTCTAAGTCAAGTCATCAGAAAGGAGTCATCATGTTTTTAATCTGGAGCTTGGCTCTAACTTTATAAATGTGGCTCCCTTGAAAATATTGTAATAGAATGAATCAAACTCTTTATTTCTTTAAAATGTATTTAACATTTTTCATTTTTGATGGATCATATAGATAATAACATTACAATAACATCCATCCAATCCAATAACAACAACATTACAATAACACAATAACATCCTTCGTCCTTCAGAGGGAGATGATTCCTCTCGCTGTTCCACCCAGCAGTAAACTTCTCTACAGATCTGATCCAAGGTTCAGAGCAGGAAGCTCAGAGAAACTAAAACAACCTGAGAGATTTTTCTCAGACTCTCCAGGCTTCAGTTCAGCTTCAGATTATTGCGATCGTCGTGCAAGTAGCAAAAATGGAGGCTTTGACGTTTGCACAGACCAAGCGGTGAAGAAGAACAGAAGCCGTTAGATTCTGACTGATGCTAATACCGATTGTTTTAACATCGGTTGACCAATAGCTGGATAGGATTTCCCTGAAGGCTGACGTACAGCGTAATCCAAACAGGTTAGCTTCCCAAAGCGATGGAGCCTCTGGGGTCTCCTCACCGACCATTTCTCCCTCCAGGGCAGGATGAGTGCGGAGGCGGCCGACCGGGTGGCGGCTGTGATCAGCAGCCGGCCCAGCACGCCGCTGCAGGTCTCCTGGTTTGAGTTCCTGCTGGATGGAAGCCTGCTGGAGAAACACCTGCAGAGCCCATACCCAGGTCAGTGTTTCCCCCCGACGGACCGGACCGGACCGGAGGTGGCTATGCTGACGCATGACTGTGTTGGTTTCCAACCCAACAGACCCGCCCCCGGTTCAGCTCATCATCCAGTTCCTGGAGCAGGCGTCCAAGCCGTCTGTGAACGAGCAGAACCAGGTGCAGCCGCCGGCGGATAACCGGAGGAACCGGACCCTGAAGCTGCTGGCTCTGAAGGTAGCTGCACACATGAAGTGGGATCTGGACTCTCTGGAGAAAGGGTGAGTAACGAGTTTCCATCGAGCCGTACGGTTCAGACGGACCGCGGTGATTGGCTGTGATGTCATCTTCTCCCTCTGGGTCAGTCTGAGCATCCCCGTTCTCAACATGCTGCTGAACGAGCTGCTGTGCGTCAGCAAAGTGCCGGCAGGCGTCAAGCATGTGGACCTGGACCTCTCCACCCTGCCTCCAACCACCGCCATGGCCGTCATCATCTACAACCGCTGGTGAGAACGGCCGCCTTATTTTCACGTCTCCGAGACGAAGCGGGTTCTGTTTGGATTAAACGTCTCTGTCTGGTTCTGTCGAAGGGCCATCAGAACCATCGTGCTGAGCAGCTTTCCAGAGAAGCAGACCAAACCCGGACCGCATCAGATGAACATGTAAACCTTTCATCACGTTTTCTGATGGATGTTCTATGAAGCCTTCTGGAGGTTTATAACCTGACAGGCTTCAGCTCTCAGCCTCTTCCTGCTCCAACAGACCAGTTCCTCCTCACTGGTCCTCAGCCTGAGCTTTGATGGGATCACAGGGATCAGTTTGTCACACATCCAATCTCTGAAAATCTCTAACGCTACGTTCAGACCGCGCAGCAGGAGCAGCAAAAACGCGCGTGCTGCTTCATTTTGAATGCTTGTTTTTAGTTTAGTTCTGACGCGTCTTTGCTGCTGATTCTCTGCTTTGCAGCTTAGGCGTTAATAAACTGTTTCAGAGAAGTGATCATAGCGCTCTGCATCAACAGCGCTGCGTCTGACTCCCTGCCAGCTCCCAGATCAGCTTCTCTCATTGGTTGATGCGGCGCGTCCAGCAGCTGAAGTTACATTTATCCAACTTCAGCAGCTGCTGCTTCTGGAGCGCCTCAGAAGCTCATGAGTCGCTGCTCAAAACGCGCTACATGACTTTTTGATGCAGTTTGATGCGCGTCAACCTTTGACTTTTCATGTCAAGGCCGCAGCAGCGAGTTGCAGATATTTTTGATTTCTGCCCAATATTGAAGCGTGGTCTGCGCCATGTTATTCCACGCCATAACACCAATCAGGAACTAGCTGTGGGTCTAGATACGGCCGAGGCGGTGAGGAAGTGGGGGCAAGTTTGTGTGATAACGGAGGGAAATGAGGGCCAAAAAGAGCGGGGATCCAGGTGGAAAAAGGGTCCCAGCGTTATGCCGCACCTCGCTCTGCTAGCCGCTCCATCTTCACCAGTCGTTTTCCAATATGGCGGTCAGACAAACAAAACAAGCTGATAAGGAACCAAACAGGAAATATGCTTAGAGTAGAGCGGATGTAGATTTGAGCAATCAGAGGCCTCCTGTCTGCGGTCACCTAACATTTTGGAGAGGAGCAGCAGGGGGACTGCAGAGGGGGCGGGGCATATCTAAACCATATTTAAACACACATATATATATAAACCAGCCTTAAACTGGCTGTTTCTGCTGCTTGCAGGCTGAACGTAGCATAATAAACTCTGCTTATATACAAGATGAGCCTTTTAGACATAGAAGAAGAAGAAGATGGTCCAGAGTCCTGGTTCCTCTGTTCTCCAGCTTTTCTACACGATTCATGTGTGAGGATTTAAACATCCCAGGAGAAAAGCTGATCAATCCTTTTATTTTAACGCAAAGAAATCAGGTCTTTAATTGCCTGATGCTTCATGTCTTCCAACAAGGTTAAATTCTATTCAGTTTATTTCTATAGCTCCAATTCACATCATGTCATCTCAGGTCACTTTCCAGTTCACCAGATCATCCAGTCAGATTGATTCAAAGTTTTCTATCTAAGGAAAACCAGCTGATTGCATCGACTCATTGACTCTTCAGCAATCCCTCACACTAAGCATGCTTGTAGCGACAGTGGAGAGGAAAAACTCCCTTTGAACAGGTAGAATCCTCCAGCAGAACCAGGCTCAGTGTGAGCGGCCATCTGCTGAGGCCCACTGGGGTTCAAGGAGACAGAAGCAGACATAGAAAAAGAAGCATAGATACAAAAGGCAACTGTCAACCAGCTCCACAGGCGGCCCCGTCCAGGAAACACACAGCCAGGCAGACGAGCTCCGAGCCAGCTCCCATGTCAGAGGATGAAGAGAGCACATCCAGTTAGTCACAGTCAGAGAAACAGGACTACACTGGAAAACAGGCCAAGCTCCAACATCTAGAAACAAAGGTGTTGATGGCAGCAGCACAGCTGATATTTCTCTCCAGGATGGAGTCACAGCCAAACAGGAACAGACCAGATGAAGCTACTATGAGAAAAAGCAGAGAGAGCAGAACGTTGGAGATTGAACTAACAGATTCTGCAGAGTGGGAGAATAGAGATAGAATGAAGCAGAATGATGAAAAAGGGGTCCCTATGTCCCTAGACTAGGCTTAGATGTCCAGTACTAGGCTAGGTTTCCCAGTCTCTGGAAGAAAAATGGGCCCACAGCATCACTGGTCCCCCACCCTGCTTACGATGGGCAGCAGGCGCCTTTCTGAGTCCCGTTAAAGTAGGTTGGATCAAATGCTGAATGTTTGCGTTTGTAATGGTAGGACTGGGAAGGCTTCTTTTTCTGACCTGCCTAGTTGATGCTATGGAAGGCAGGTCTGGATTAGTCCTTACCCAGAAATCCCACTTCCTCCTGTTTTGATGTTTGGCTTCAGTTAAAGGAAAAGTTTGGTCAGCAGGAAATAATCAGCGGATCATTATCTGTACGTAAAGCTAATATGTTTGTGGTGTTTTGAAGCTTCATGGTTTTCCTCCTGGCTTAATGCTCCTCTGCTCTGCTGCAGGTTGAACTTGGTCCAGCAGGAGAAGGAGATGACGGAGAACATCCTGTGTGTGGTGAGCTGCTGCTGTTGGTCTGAATGGGTGTCACTCCAGGCGGGGGGGTCTGCGTTCCTCTGACTGAAGCCCTGTTTCCTCCTCCCAGCTGAAGGAGCAGGCGGCCGACTCCATCAGCGTCCTGGAAGGAGCGCTGCGCCTGAACAAGGGCTCCTACGTCCACACCGTGAGGACGCTGGACCTCCTGGGCTCTGACGCCGCCGCCAACGGAGAAACGGAGTCGTCCACCGCAGGGCTTCGGATCAGCGGCGAGGAGCTGCACTGCCAGGTGGGCGGCTGCTCGGGTTCAGGGTGGACCCGCTCCACCTCCTGACCTCTGACCTCTGACCTGTGTTCTATTTCAGGTCCATTACGACCTGGGAGGGATCTTCTTCCAGCAGGGCTGCACCGAGCAGCCGGCTTATGAAAAAGCTCGGGACCATTTCAGGACGACCAAGGAGCTCCTGAAGAAGGTACCGGATCTCACAGAAGCTCACAGTTCTGATCCAAAGTCCAGTTGGTCCTCATTGTTCTCCGTCTCAGCTGGACGAGTCCGTCCACGTCCACCTAGACGAGGAGCGTCTGGCCGGCTACTGGAACGCCTGCAAGGCTTTAACCGGAGCCTGCGACGCGGCCGACCCCCACATGACCCGATATGAGCAGATCAATAGCCTGATCCGGGCGCACGACTACCAGGTAGGAGGAGCATACGGCGCCACATTTATCTCAAAACACCCGTGAGAAAAATAAACATAGAGGCGTGTATGTAAAGGCTGATTTATGCTCAGGTCGTCTGCGCAGTTTATGCAGATATGCCCCGCCCCTGCTGCAGACACTCTGCTGCTCCTCTCCCACATTGTAGGTGAGCGCAGACAGGAGGCCTCTGATTGGTCAGATCTACATCCGCTCTACACTATACCTATTTCCTGTTTGGTTCCTTACCGGCTTGTTTTGTTTGTCTGACCGCCATATTGCAAAACGACTGGTGAAGATGGAGCGGCTAGAAGAGCGAGGTTAGGGTTAGGGTTAGCCTTTGACTGACAGCTGGTCATTCATAAGTGAAGACGACGGCTGGAGGCGGGACAGTGGAGGAGGCTTCTCCATTGTTTGCGTTACGTGGGGTAAGTGGAAAGCGTCAGTCAAAGACTTCCTGACGCCACTTCCTGTGTGATGGTGTCTGCGAGGCCCAATCAGGAGGAGGCTTTCAGAAGAGGTTTGTCTCCGCCCGACCTGTCAAGACACATTTTCTTTCACGTTAGGAGAAAATCAGTCTGAGGGCAGAGACGCTTTGAGAACGCAACTGTCCTCAAGCGTGGTCGCTGGATAGACAATCGTACGTGGTGAGATCCTGAGCCTGTGGGAGGAGCTAGCGTTCGCTGAGAGGGATTTTCTCCTCTCCAGGCGGCAGTTTCTCGCTCATGTGTGTCTTAGTTGATAAACGACGTGCAGAAGAAGTTTAACGTACGTGCCTGTATGTTTATTTTGCTCGTGGCGCCGTGAGACGCTGCAGCGGTTCTGGAGGAGGAATGACGTGTGCGATGTTCTCCCTGCAGGCTGTGGTTGAGGAGTTCATCAAGGACAACGCCTCCCGCTGCTTCCCCGCCCACTTCAGGCGCTCCGTCCTCAGAGAGCTGCTGTACAGAGTCCAACAAGGGTGAGACCAGAACCTCTCCGATCCGATCACAGATCAACAACCAGAGCCGGCCCCGTGCCGTCGGAACCTACCGGGTTCTAATGGATTCTGTGCTTGCAGGGAATCGGGCCTGGATGAGGTCTGTCACCAGCTGTGTGTCTGCAACGCGGTCCGAGACGCTCTGGAAGGAGAAGTTCTGAGCGTCCGCTTCCAGCAGCTGCTGCTGAGGCCCAGTAAGGCCATGGTGGACTTCCTGTTGGAGGTAGGACGACGTGGTGGGAGGTCCGAATCATGGCCGCCCTCCTCGCCGCTATCAGCAGTACTGGAGCTCATCCTGTCGCTTCCTGCTGCAGGTCTGCAGGCGTTCCCTGGACCGAGACCAACCGTCTGATCCCGCCTCCAGAACAAACATGGCCGCCTTCTTAAGGTGAGTCTGAGCAGAACCACAGCTGATATGAATGTGTGGTTCTGTTCCGGCCTTTCTGCAGTGGGTCCAAACCGTGGCTCAGGGGCTGTTTACGGCTCCCAGGCTGTTTTTAGATGGTCTGCAAACAAAGCTGGAGGATTTATGCTCAGTTTATCCCCATCATCTCCCCATCACCTCCCCATCACCTCCCCATCACCTCCCCATCGCCTCCCCATCGTCTCCCCATCACATCCCCATCACCTCCCCATCACCTCCCCATCACATCCCCATCACCTCCCCATCACCTCCCCATCACCTCCCCATCACCTCCCCATCGCCTCCCCATCACATCCCCATCACCTCCCCATCGTCTCCCCATCACATCCCCATCACATCCCCATCACCTCCCCATCACCTCCCCATCGCCTCCCCATCGTCTCCCCATCACATCCCCATCACCTCCCCATCACCTCCCCATCGCCTCCCCATCGTCTCCCCATCACATCCCCATCACCTCCCCATCACTTCCCCATCGCCTCCCCATCACATCCCCATCACATCCCCATCACCTCCCCATCACATCCCCATCGCCTCCCCATCACATCCCCATCACCTCCCCATCACCTCCCCATCCATCCCACGCTCCCCATCACATCCCATCACCTCCCATCTCCCGCGATCGCCTCCCATCGTCTCCCCATCACATCCCCATCACATCCCCATCACCTCCCCATCACCTCCCATCGCCTCCCCATCGTCTCCCCATCACATCCCCATCACCTCCCCATCGCCTCCCCATCGCCTCCCCATCGTCTCCCCATCACCTCCCCATCACCTCCCCATCACCTTCCCCATCACCTCCCCATCGTCTCCCCATCACCTCCCCATCACATCCCCATCACCTCCCCATCGCCTCCCCATCACCTCCCCATCACCTCCCCATCACATCCCCATCACATCCCCATCACCTCCCCATCACCTCCCCATCACATCCCCATCACATCCCCATCACCTCCCCATCACATCCCCATCACATCCCCATCACCTCCCCATCACCTCCCCATCACATCCCCATCACATCCCCATCACCTCCCCATCACATCCCCATCACCTCCCCATCACATCCCCATCACATCCCCATCACCTCCCCATCACCTCCCCATCACATCCCCATCACATCCCCATCACCTCCCCATCACATCCCCATCACCTCCCCATCGCCTCCCCATCACCTCCCCATCACATCCCCATCACCTCCCCATCACCTCCCCATCACCTCCCCATCGCCTCCCCATCACATCCCCATCACCTCCCCATCGCCTCCCCATCACATCCCCATCACATCCCCATCGACTCCCCATCGTCTCCCCATCTTCTCCCCATCGGCTCCCCATCACATCCCCATCGCCTCCCCATCGTCTCCCCATCTTCTCCCCATCTTTTCCACATCGCCTCCCCATCGCCTCCCCATCACATCCCCATCACCTCCCCATCGTCTCCCCATCGCCTCCCCATCATCTCCCCATCACCTCCCCATCGCCTCCCCATCACATCCCCATCATCTCCCCATCACCTCCCCATCGCCTCCCCATCACATCCCCATCACCTCCCCATCACATCCCCATCACATCCCCATCACCTCCCCATCACATCCCCATCACCTCCCCATCACATCCCCATCACATCCCCATCACCTCCCCATCGTCTCCCCATCGCCTCCCCATCATCTCCCCATCACCTCCCCATCGCCTCCCCATCACATCCCCATCATCTCCCCATCACCTCCCCATCGCCTCCCCATCACATCCCCATCACCTCCCCATCACATCCCCATCACATCCCCATCACCTCCCCATCACATCCCCATCACCTCCCCATCACATCCCCATCACATCCCCATCACCTCCCCATCACCTCCCCATCACATCCCCATCACATCCCCATCACCTCCCCATCACATCCCCATCACCTCCCCATCGCCTCCCCATCACCTCCCCATCACATCCCCATCACCTCCCCATCACCTCCCCATCACCTCCCCATCGCCTCCCCATCACATCCCCATCACCTCCCCATCGCCTCCCCATCACATCCCCATCACATCCCCATCGACTCCCCATCGTCTCCCCATCTTCTCCCCATCGTCTCCCCATCACATCCCCATCGCCTCCCCATCGTCTCCCCATCTTCTCCCCATCTTTTCCACATCGCCTCCCCATCGCCTCCCCATCACATCCCCATCACCTCCCCATCGTCTCCCCATCGCCTCCCCATCATCTCCCCATCACCTCCCCATCGCCTCCCCATCACATCCCCATCATCTCCCCATCACCTCCCCATCGCCTCCCCATCACATCCCCATCGTCTCCCCATCTTCTCCACATCTTTTCCACATCGTCTCCCCATCACCTCCCCATCACCTCCCCATCGCCTCCCCATCGCCTCCCCATCTTCTCCACATCTTTTCCACATCGTCTCCCCATCACCTCCCCATCACCTCCCCATCGCCTCCCCATCACCTCCCCATCGTCTCCCCATCGCCTCCCCATCGCCTCCCCATCACCTCCCCATCGTCTCCCCATCGCCTCCCCATCACCTCCCCATCGTCTCCCCATCGCCTCCCCATCATCTCCCCATCACCTCCCCATCGCCTCCCCATCACATCCCCATCGCCTCCCCATCGCCTCCCCATCACATCCCCATCGCCTCCCCATCGCCTCCCCATCACCTCCCCATCGCCTCCCCATCACCTCCCCATCGTCTCCCCATCGCCTCCCCATCACCTCCCCATCGTCTCCCCATCGCCTCCCCATCATCTCCCCATCACCTCCCCATCGCCTCCCCATCACATCCCCATCATCTCCCCATCACCTCCCCATCGCCTCCCCATCACATCCCCATCGCCTCCCCATCACATCCCCATCGCCTCCCCATCGTCTCCCCATCTTCTCCACATCTTTTCCACATCGTCTCCCCATCACCTCCCCATCACCTCCCCATCGCCTCCCCATCGCCTCCCCATCTTCTCCCCATCTTTTCCCCATCTTCTCCCCATCACCTCCCCATCACCTCCCCATCGCCTCCCCATCACATCCCCATCGTCTCCCCATCGCCTCCCCATCGCCTCCCCATCATCTCCCCATCACCTCCCCATCGCCTCCCCATCACATCCCCATCATCTCCCCATCACCTCCCCATCGCCTCCCCATCACATCCCCATCGTCTCCCCATCGCCTCCCCATCGCCTCCCCATCATCTCCCCATCGCCTCCCCATCATCTCCCCATCACCTCCCCATCGCCTCCCCATCACATCCCCATCGCCTCCCCGTCGTCTCCCCATCTTATCCCCATCGTCTCCCCATCGCCTCCCCATCGCCTCCCCATCACCTCCCCATCGTCTCCCCATCGCCTCCCCATCATCTCCCCATCACCTCCCCATCGCCTCCCCATCACATCCCCATCGCCTCCCCATCGTCTCCCCATCGTCTCCCCATCGTCTCCCCATCTTATCCCCATCGTCTCCCCATCGTCTCCCCATCTTATCCCCATCGTCTCCCCATCGCCTCCCCGTCGTCTCCCCATCTTATCCCCATCGCCTCCCCATCATCTCCCCATCACCTCCCCATCATCTCCCCATCACATCCCCATCGCCTCCCCGTCGTCTCCCCATCTTATCCCCATCGCCTCCCCGTCGTCTCCCCATCTTATCCACATCTTTTCCACATCGTCTCCCCATCATCTCCCCATCACCTCCCCATCGCCTCCCCATCACATCCCCATCGCCTCCCCGTCGTCTCCCCATCTTATCCCCATCGCCTCCCCGTCGTCTCCCCATCGCCTCCCCATCGTCTCTCCATCGTCTCTCCATCTTCTCCCCATCACATCCCCATCGCCTCCCCGTCGTCTCCCCATCTTATCCCCATCGCCTCCCCGTCGTCTCCCCATCTTATCCCCATCGCCTCCCCATCGTCTCTCCATCGTCTCCCCATCTTCTCCACATCTTTTCCACATCGTCTCCCCATCTTATCACATCTTTTCCACATCGTCTCCCCATCACCTCCCCATCGCCTCCCCATCGCCTCCCCATCGCCTCCCCATCACATCCCCATCGCCTCCCCGTCGTCTCCCCATCTTATCCCCATCGTCTCCCCATCGCCTCCCCATCATCTCCCCATCACCTCCCCATCGCCTCCCCATCACATCCCCATCGCCTCCCCATCGTCTCCCCATCGTCTCCCCATCTTATCCCCATCGTCTCCCCATCGCCTCCCCGTCGTCTCCCCATCTTATCCCCATCGCCTCCCCATCATCTCCCCATCACCTCCCCATCATCTCCCCATCACATCCCCATCGCCTCCCCGTCGTCTCCCCATCTTATCCCCATCGCCTCCCCGTCGTCTCCCCATCTTATCCACATCTTTTCCACATCGTCTCCCCATCATCTCCCCATCACCTCCCCATCGCCTCCCCATCACATCCCCATCGCCTCCCCGTCGTCTCCCCATCTTATCCCCATCGCCTCCCCGTCGTCTCCCCATCTTATCCCCATCGCCTCCCCATCGTCTCTCCATCGTCTCTCCATCGTCTCCCCATCTTTTCCACATCGTCTCCACATCGTCTCCCCATCGCCTCCCCATCACATCCCCATCGTCTCCCCATCTTATCCCCATCGCCTCCCCATCGTCTCTCCATCGCCTCCCCATCACATCCCCATCGTCTCCCCATCACATCCCCATCGTCTCCCCATCGCCTCTCCATCGTCTCTCCATCGTCTCCCCATCGCCTCCCCATCTTCTCCCCATCTTTTCCACATCGTCTCCCCATCGTCTCCCCATCGTCTCCCCATCGCCTCCCCATCACATCCCCATCGTCTCCCCATCACATCCCCATCGTCTCCCCATCGCCTCTCCATCGTCTCTCCATCGTCTCCCCATCGCCTCTCCATCGTCTCCCCATCGCCTCTCCATCGTCTCCCCATCGCCTCTCCATCGTCTCCCCATCTTTTCCACATCGTCTCCCCATCGTCTCCCCATCGCCTCCCCATCACCTCCCCATCGTCTCCTCATCGCCTCCCCATCTTCTCCCCATCTTTTCCACATCGTCTCCCCATCGTCTCCCCATCGTCTCCCCATCGTCTCCCCATCGCCTCTCCATCGCCTCCCCATCGCCTCCCCATCGTCTCCCCATCACATCCCCATCGCCTCTCCATCGCCTCCCCATCGCCTCCCCATCACATCCCCATCGTCTCCCCATCGCCTCTCCATCGTCTCTCCATCGTCTCCCCATCTTTTCCCCATCGTCTCCCCATCGTCTCCCCATCACATCCCCATCGCCTCTCCATCGCCTCCCCATCGCCTCTCCATCACATCCCCATCGCCTCTCCATCGCCTCCCCATCGCCTCTCCATCGCCTCCCCATCGCCTCCCCATCGCCTCTCCATCACATCCCCATCGTCTCCCCATCACATCCCCATCACATCCCCATCGCCTCTCCATCGCCTCCCCATCGCCTCTCCATCGCCTCCCCATCGTCTCCCCATCGCCTCTCCATCGCCTCCCCATCGTCTCCCCATCGTCTCTCCATCCTCGTCCCTCAGAAACTTCTTTTTCGCTCTCAGGACGGTTCTAGATAAACTGGACCTTAGGGCGGTTAAATAAAATGGTTCCTTGTTTCCGTCTGAACGTCTCACCTCCTGCTGCTGATGTCTGAATGTTTTTTGGAAGTCTGTAAATTTCAGGCTTTGGGATTTTCGTTAACTTTGCAGCAGATCTTTGATCAGGCGGCGGTTTTAGTCGGACAGTAACAGCAGGTGCGTTTCTGTGCTGCAGGACTCTGTGTGAGAACCTGGAGGATTTGTCTCTGGCGCTGTCCATGACGTCCCATCCGCTGTTGGTGGAGCTGCTGAGAGACGAGGACCGGAAGCTTCTGATGGAGCAGATGAGGAAGAGGTCGGCCACCGTCAACCTGAGCGCCAAACCCCTCCCGTCTTTCTACGACATCCCAGGTAAGGAGCCGCACCCCCTGCTGCCCTGCGGGTCTCTGCTCAGAGGGTCTCAGTCGGAGCTTCTGTCCCTGCAGCGTCCGCCAGCGTGAACATCGGCCAGCTGGAGCAGCAGCTCATCCTGTCTCTGGAGCCGCGCCGCATCAGACAGATCCTGATCGAGCTCCACGGCATGGCGGAGCGGCCCTTCTGGAGAGTCAACAGCAAGGTCCCCCCCCCACCCCATCCCATCCCCTAACTTTGATTAATCTGTAAATGAGCTTTGAATGATTGGACCAATCAGCTGCTCTCTGTCCATCCAGTGGGTGGTTCCTCCTGACTACATCAACGTGGTCCTCGCCATCAAAGACAGCCTGACCAAAGACCTGGTCTACATCCTCATGGCCAAAGGACTCCACTGCATCTCCATAAAGGTGGGAGCACTGGTCTCTATTTATTCACTGGATTGCTGATTGTGAAGCCATCGGCTGCCATATTGGTACTCCCCACTAGAGACGTGCATTAAAGATGCCTCCCTGTGCAGCATCTGGCTGCTAAAACCAGCAGTTTTCTGTCTGCAGGAAGATGTTCCACTGGTAATTTCCCAGTCTGGATGAACTAAGCAATAAATCCATCTATAGCCGATGGATCCTATAGTTTAGTCTGCAGACTAACATTAGTCTCAGACTGACTGGAAGACATTGACTGAGTTAGACACTGACATTGGGTGTTTGTTGTATTTCTCATTTGAAAAAGTCACGAGCTGAAAATATATTACATGTTATAGTGAGGGATATATCTATATGTGTGTGTCTATTAGGGGTGGAACGGTTCACAGAATCCACGGTTCGGTTCACGGTTTTTGGTTCGGTTTATGTTGATTGTTAGCATGACATGTTGGTCGTGTTGCTGTTAGCATAAACAAAACGTGTTGCACAATGCTTGCACACTGTTGCACTTTTCTCCACAGCTTTCTTCCCGCCGTCAGCGTAGGTCACTCTAAATGCAAAGTGGTCCCATACAGCAGACCTATAAAGTGCTGCTGGCGCGTCTTCCAACTCCTGTTCTTTCCCACTCGCCATACCCACACAATTCTCCACAACAACTGATTTTTTTCTGCTACACCCGGCTACGCTGCTTCGCTTCTTCTTCTTCTTGTTTACTACTGGTGGTTGGCTTTGGTCACAGTACCGCCACCTTCTGCTCTGGAGTGTAAACGCTTCGCCTATGAGAAAAAGGAGCAGCGCATGAACCGAACGCAACACACACGAACCGAACCGAGACAGTCGAACCGAACGGTTCGGACGGTTTTCATAAACCGCTCCTACCTAGTGTGTGTGTGTGTGTGTGTGTGTGTGTGTGTGTGTGTGTGTATACACCTGTACCAATCAGCAGTCCAGTGAATAGAGCTCAGAGCCAAACCTGCTGGGAGAATTGATGGTTTAGGTTCTGCTTGTCTGGAAACGGCGTCTCTGTCGCCGCAGGACTTTGGCCACGCCCGCCAGCTGTTCTCAGCCTGCCTGGAGCTCGTCACCGAGTTCTCCCCAAAGCTGCGGCAGGTGATGCTCAACGAGTTGCTGCTGCTGGACGTTCGCGCTCACGAAACCACGGCGGCCGAGGGCAGCAAGGAGCGGCCGCCGCCCGACCTGGTCAGCCGGGTCAGAGGGTACCTGGAGATGAGGATTCACGGTGAGCGAGCGGACCGCCGCGCCGATGCTTCTGAAGGTCCTCCTCCTCCTGAATGTCGTCCTGGTTTCTCTCCAGACGTTCCTCTGCGTCAGGTGATCGGGGAGGAGTGCGTCGCCTTCATGCTGAACTGGAGAGAGAACGACTACCTGACGCTGCAGGTGCCGCCGTCTCTGGTCATGAACAACCCGTACATCAAGGTGAGCCGCAGCGTGTAGCTGGCGTCTGGAGGTCAGTGTCGCATGTCTGAACCGTTTCCCCTCCTGCAGCTCGGCCAGCTCCTGGCCTCCACCTGCAAAGAGCTTCCCGGTCCTAAAGAGAGCCGGCGCACAGCCAAGGAGCTGTGGGACGTGGTGGTCCAGGTCTGCAGCGTCTCCGTCCAGCACAAGAGGAGCAGCGACGGGCGCCTGGGTCTGATCAGGCAGAGGGAGTCGTCTCTGGGCATCATGCCGCGGTGAGTCCTCAGGCGGCTGCATTATATCCGCTAAATGCTCGCTTCGATTCTCATTCTGCTTTCTTTCCACATCCAGGAGCAAATTCATCACCTTCGTTAAGAAGCTCAGAGTAAGCGCCCTCGTTTGGAGAAAACCACCCCGCTCGTGAAGTCCTGAGCTCTAACAGCTTCTCCTCTGTCCCTCAGGAGCCGCTGGTGCTGACCACTCTGATCTCGCTGTTTGTGAGACTCCACAGCATCGTCCGAGTACGTCGCCATCTTCCCTTTGCTGCTGTGTTCAGATTTTATTCATTTCCAGAACAGAAATGGAGCCAAATATCTGATTAAGCAGCTTAGATCTCATCCGGAAACGGAGGTTTAATTTACCGCAGAGCAGGAAATGATTGATCCTCATCAAACCGGCACCGACCCACGGGTTTACAGAAACACCACATGTTTAGATCCAAAGCAGGATTCAGCTTCAGATGAACTGATGTCCATGCAGGAGGCATCGGGTGAAAAATGTCCCAGTAATATGTAGCAATAGTTGCTGCTTTGGCAGGACGCTGGGAGCCATGTTGCCAGGGGCCCCTGCTGCACGGAGCCATTAGAAGAACACTGACGATGAAAGACCTATTGCACGCCGTGCTAATGTAGCCACTGATGCTAACAGTAGCCAGTAGCACAGCCGCTACAGTTAACCTAGCCTAGTTTACATACATTTAATCCAAACGTGAGACTTTGCTGCTGGTCGGCTCCTCGTTTCCAGGTCCAGGTTCATCAATCTGGGTTCGATTCCTCTGGTCTTTCTCAAGGTGAAAACCGTCCGACTGAATTTTAATGATCGTTTTCAGATCATTTACTGCAGTTTCTATCCAGTTTAACCTTATTATAGTTTCTAATGAGTGAATTTCACTCTCCAACCAGTAGATTAGTGAGGTTAACGATACTTTACCATCATATTAAAGGTATAGAGGAGGATTCCTAAATAGTTCAAATCAATCCTCTGGACTTTGTTTCCAAGTTTGAAGACGTTTCTCTTCCATCCAGGAAGTTTTTTCAATCCAAAATGTCAGAAATAGCGTTTAGTTCCAGGTTTTATCCAGCAGCCCAACAAAGCCTGGTTTTAGTTTAGAAAACATGCAGATAGAAACGGATGAACAGGTCCCCCCCTTTGGAATGGGGGTCGTTTTGGAACGCCCCATACCTGTCTATGTCTCTGAAAGGGGGGTCGTTAGAGGGAATAGTTGGCCTGGATGAACAGGGGAGGTCTTCTGTTCTCCTGTAAAGGAGTTGGAGCTGCGATGATGGCGGGAAGGAATCAACTTAACTATGGTATTGTAGGTTGTTAAACACTATTAGGTTGAAAACCCCAAATAAAAAGCGGACAGGAAACAGGAAGTCAGTTTACGGACCTGAGTTCATCAGGAACGGACCAGCCGAAGGGTCGGATGGGTCCTCAGAAATACAGCTAAACACTGGAACTAAAATGATAAAACCCGCTCCCAAAGGGGAGGGGTTAAATCCAGAGAGTGGATTTCATTGTTCTGACGGTGGAATGACAATAAAACACTGGGGAAAAAAAGAAAAATCAGGGGATGAAGACGTCTGCCCTCTTCATCGTCTCTGACTGCCGCAGGTCTCCTCTATAGATGATCTTTGCAGCAGGAGGGCTCACTCTGTCTGTTTTTCTGGATGTTTCAGATTATAGAAAATGCTCCATGCGTCGAAGGAAAGGATGCATCACTAACGGTTCCTTTGTGTCCAGAGATGCTTTAACTGAACAGAATAAGACATTCAATGACTGGGCATTGGACATCAGACTCCATCCAGGTTTATGTTTAAGAATCCTGGAGGGATCCGGATGAAAATGATCCAGTCCAGTTTTTTTAGGGTCCAGGATGACTTCCTGTCTACAAAGTGATCAGTGACCCGTGTGAAACGGCGTTTTTCAGTCCATCTGTGATTCAGCGGCTGCTTCCTCCTCCGCAGGACGACATCGTCAACGAAGTGACCGCCGAGCACCTCTCCATCTGGCCGTCCTCTCTTCCAAAGTGAGTTCTACCGGGGGGGGGGAGCGCCTCCGTGTCGCTCTGCAGCGTCTCTGACCCGCTTCCTGCTGTTTGTCCTGAGCAGCATTCAGGCGGTGGACGTGGAGGCCGTGGCGGTGACGGTCAAAGAGCTGGTGACCTACGCCCTCACGCTGAACCCCAACAGCCAGTCGTGGCTCGTCACGCAGGCGGACATCTACTTTGGTGAGCAGCGGTAGCCTTCTGACCATCAAACCGCTTCAAGTTAGAGTTAAACACAATCCACTGGACTTTGTTTGCAAGTTTGAAGACGTTCTGCTTCCCATCCTGGAAGCTTTCTCAATTGAAAATGTCTGGATTAGCGTTTAGTTCCAGACTTTTATAGAGATGCCAAACTAAAGCCTTGTAACGGCTTAGAAAACCTGCAGATTGAAACTAGAAAACCAGCTCCGCCCCTTAATAATGGGAGTCCTTGAGGTCGTTATCGGCCTGCAGTACCTGTTACTGGTCCACGCCTCTGAAAAGTTCATTTTCAGAACAAAGTTTAATTAATTAATCCAGGCATTTTGGAAACCAAGTCCTGCGGATTGTTTTTTTTTAACCTTTGTGGAACGACTGAGAATCTCGGCCTCAGGTGAATCTCCTTTCTACATGTTGTTGCAGTGACCAATCAGTACTCAGCTGCCCTCAGCTTCTACCTGCAGGCTGGAGCCGTTTGCTCAGACTTCTTCACTAAACCCGTCCCTCCTGACGTTTACACTGACCAGGTGAAACCTCACACCGCTTCCAGCTTCTGGTATAAAACCACACCTTCTAGTCAGTGCTCCAGTTGAGGGGGGTGACATTGTTTTTAACAATCACCCCCTTCTTAAATGACCATCCCCTGCACTGCAAAAAAATCTAAATCTTGATAATTTTTTTTTTTTTTTAAATAAGTGCATATGAGAAAAAAAATGAATAAAATAGAAATTGAAAAAAATAAATTTAGATATCTCCAACTTTATTTTTTTGATGGAGACATTTTTCAGTTTAATTACTGATTACACTTTTTAATTGTTTAAATTTACGAAACGTTCTTTTCAAAAATAATGGAAGAAAATTGACTCCATAGTTGGACGAAAGCTCCTGATTGTGAGGTGCATTATGGGAGTTAAACAGCAGGGGGCGCAGTGGGTCAGACCTGCAGAACCGTAACGGCCCGGTTTCTTCTTCAGGTTCTGAAGCGGATGATCAAGTGCTGCTCCATGATGAACTGCCACACGCAGGTCAGAGGTCACAGCTGTAACGTCTGATCGGGGGGGGGGGGGGGGGGGGGGGCGGTCTCTTCCTCAGGCTGAACGTTTCCTCTTCTTGTCCGACTCTCCAGGTCGCGGTTCTGTGCCAGTTTCTCCGGGAGGTCGACTACATGACGGCGTTCAAAGCTCTCCAGGAGCAGAACAGGTAAAGCCCCGCCCACACCCGATTCCCCGCCGCTCCGTTCCCCTCAGCCGTCACTAACCGCAGACGCTTTCACAGCCACGACGCCATGGACTCCTTCTACGACTACATCTGGGACGTCACCATCCTGGAGTACCTCACCCGTATCCTTTCTGATTCTGACTCCTCCTCCTGCGCCTCCTCTGAGGAGCTGATGCTGTTCCTCCCTGACTCTCAGCTCAGACATTCACCACAAACGAGGCGAGATGGAGAAGCGACAGATCGCTGTGAGTCTGCAGGAGGAGGAGGGGCTTAGTTACATCACTTCCTCCAGAGCCATGAGCTAAAGATGGGATCAATCTGAAGCAGGAAGCAGCAGGTTTAACCGTTTGCTCCTCCCACTCAGGTGAAGGCGATCGGACAGACGGAGCTGAACAGCAGCAACCCGGAGGAAGTCCTGCAGCTGGCCGCTCAGAAGAGGAAGAAGAGGTTCCTGCAGGCCATGGCCAAGCTCTACTTCTGAACACGTCTAATAAACGCTCCGGACTCTCTTAGTGACCGAAAATAAAGATGAAAACCCACGAAGCTGCTGCTGCTGTTTCTAATCCACAGACGGACGGTGGAAGACGAGCCAGCGAGGCGCGGCTCAGTCAGGAAGATGAAGGCTGATCGGCCGCGTCCTCATAAGAGCAGAAATCTGATTCACATCTGATCATTCCTGCTCCTAAAACACATCTGAAAGGAAACAAATCTGATCCAGATTATAGTCTGACTATTCCCTGGATTATAAAGATTATGTTTATTTTAAGGAGAACTCTAATAGTCCAGATTATAATCTGAGGCCTGCTGTTCTCTCAGGAACGTCTTCCTCCTCGTATTTCCACAGTTTTATTGTTTAAATCTCAGCGTTTAGCCGTAGTTCTGAGGACTATCCAACCCTTCATCAGGTTCTGTTCCTGATGAACTCGGGTCCATAAACCGACTTCCTGTTTCCTGTCTGCTTTCTTTTTATCAGGTGCTAATAATCTGTTTTCAGCTTAAAGCAGCTGTTTTATAAAAAAAAAAAACTTCAGGTTTCACAACAGAAAAATAATCAGAAGGTTTAGGAAAATAAAACAAGGCGTTTAATTGGAACTGGTGAGAAAAAAGGTTTCAGAATAATGAAATGTGATCATGACAGACGGAAAGTAAAATGAAACGGTTAAAACACGATGAGAAGGAAGGGAATTCATTTTCTCTCTTCCAACTCAAAGGATCCATCAGATTGAGGATCACATCAACCTTCCTGTTCGCCTCGTGGAAGAAAAACGATCTCTGACATTTTTTTAACACCAAATTTTAAACACTGAAGTTTTATCTGGTGAAAATTCAGCTGCAAAAAATTCAACTGCAAATGTGTTTAGCTGAACTCAAGCCAAAGCAATATGGAAGAAAAACTGTCTGGATTCTGCCTTTTATTGGTACGAGTTTTAAACAATTTTTTTAGCATCGAATTTTAAACTGAATTTTTTTAGCATCGAATTTTAAACAATTTTTTTAGCATCGAATTTTAAACACTGAATTGTTTTAGCATCGAATTTTAAACACTGAATTTTTTTAGCATCGAATTTTAAACTGAATTTTTTTAGCATTGAATTTTAAACACTGAATTTTTTTAGCATCGAATTTTAAACACTGAATTTTTATCTGGTGAAAATTCAACTGCAAAATAATTCAGCTGCAAAAAATTCAACTGCAAATGTGTTTAGCTGAACTCAAGCCAAAGCAATATGGAAGAAAAACTGTCTGGATTCTGCCTTTTATTGGTACGAGTTTTAAACAATTTTTTTAGCATCGAATTTTAAACACTGAATTTTTTTAGCATCGAATTTTAAACACTGAATTTTTTTAGCATCGAATTTTAAACACTGAATTTTTTTAGCATCGAATTTTAAACTGAATTTTTTTAGCATTGAATTTTAAACACTGAATTTTTTTAGCATCGAATTTTTAACACTGAATTTTTTTAGCAACGAATTTTAAACAATGAATTTTTTTATCATCGAATTTTAAACACTGAAATTTTTTGGCGTTGAATTTTAAACACTGAATTTTTTTGGCGTCGAATTTTAAACACTGAATTTTTTTAGCATCGAATTTTAAACACTGAAATTTTTTAGCATCGAATTTTAAACACTGAATTTTTTTAGCATCGAATTTTAAACACTGAATTTTTTTAGCATCGAATTTTAAACTGAATTTTTTTAGCATCGGATTTTAAACTGAATTTTTTTAGCATCGAATTTTTAACACTGAATTTTTTTAGCATCGAATTTTAAACACTGAATTTTTTTAGCATCGGATTTTTAACACTGAATTTTTTAGCATCGGATTTTTAAAACTGAATTTTTTTAGCATCGAATTTTAAACACTGAATTTTTTTAGCATCGCATTTTAAACAATGAATTTTTTTATCATCGAATTTTAAACACTGAAATTTTTTGGCGTTGAATTTTAAACACTGAATTTTTTTGGCGTCGAATTTTAAACACTGAATTTTTTTAGCATCGAATTTTACACTGAAATTTTTAGCATCGAATTTTAAACACTGAATTTTTTTAGCATCGAATTTTAAACACTGAATTTTTTTAGCATCGAATTTTAAACACTGAATTTTTTTAGCATCGGATTTTAAACTGAATTTTTTTAGCATCGAATTTTTAACACTGAATTTTTTTAGCATCGAATTTTAAACAATGAATTTTTTTAGCATCGGATTTTTAACACTGAATTTTTTTAGCATCGAATTTTAAACACTGAATTTTTTTAGCATCGAATTTTAAACACTGAATTTTTTTAGCATCGAATTTTAAACACTGAATTTTTTTAGCATCGAATTTTTAACACTGAATTTTTTTTAGGCATCGAATTTTAAACACTGAAATTTTTTTAGCATCGAATTTTAAACACTGAATTTTTTTAGCATCGAATTTTTAACACTGAATTTTTTTAGCATCGAATTTTAAACACTGAATTTTTTTAGCATCGAATTTTAAACACTGAATTTTTTTAGCATCGAATTTTAAACTGAATTTTTTTAGCATTGAATTTTAAACACTGAATTTTTTTAGCATCGAATTTTTAACACTGAATTTTTTTAGCAACGAATTTTAAACAATGAATTTTTTTATCATCGAATTTTAAACACTGAAATTTTTTGGCGTTGAATTTTAAACACTGAATTTTTTTGGCGTCGAATTTTAAACACTGAATTTTTTTAGCATCGAATTTTAAACACTGAAATTTTTTAGCATCGAATTTTAAACACTGAATTTTTTTAGCATCGAATTTTAAACACTGAATTTTTTTAGCATCGAATTTTAAACTGAATTTTTTTAGCATCGGATTTTAAACTGAATTTTTTTAGCATCGAATTTTTAACACTGAATTTTTTTAGCATCGAATTTTAAACACTGAATTTTTTTAGCATCGGATTTTTAACACTGAATTTTTTAGCATCGGATTTTTAAAACTGAATTTTTTTAGCATCGAATTTTAAACACTGAATTTTTTTAGCATCGCATTTTAAACAATGAATTTTTTTATCATCGAATTTTAAACACTGAAATTTTTTGGCGTTGAATTTTAAACACTGAATTTTTTTGGCGTCGAATTTTAAACACTGAATTTTTTTAGCATCGAATTTTACACTGAAATTTTTAGAATCGAATTTTAAACACTGAATTTTTTTAGCATCGAATTTTAAACACTGAATTTTTTTAGCATCGAATTTTAAACTGAATTTTTTTAGCATCGGATTTTAAACTGAATTTTTTTAGCATCGAATTTTTAACACTGAATTTTTTTAGCATCGAATTTTAAACACTGAATTTTTTTAGCATCGAATTTTAAACACTGAATTTTTATCTGGTGAAAATTCAACTGCAAAATAATTCAGCTGCAAAAAATTCAACTGCAAATGTGTTTAGCTGAACTCAAGCCAAAGCAATATGGAAGAAAAACTGTCTGGATTCTGCCTTTTATTGGTACGAGTTTTAAACAATTTTTTTAGCATCGAATTTTAAACACTGAATTTTTTTAGCATCGAATTTTAAACACTGAATTTTTTTAGCATCGAATTTTAAACACTGAATTTTTTTAGCATCGAATTTTAAACTGAATTTTTTTAGCATTGAATTTTAAACACTGAATTTTTTTAGCATCGAATTTTTAACACTGAATTTTTTTAGCAACGAATTTTAAACAATGAATTTTTTTATCATCGAATTTTAAACACTGAAATTTTTTGGCGTTGAATTTTAAACACTGAATTTTTTTGGCGTCGAATTTTAAACACTGAATTTTTTTAGCATCGAATTTTTAACACTGAATTTTTTTAGCAACGAATTTTAAACAATGAATTTTTTTATCATCGAATTTTAAACACTGAAATTTTTTGGCGTTGAATTTTAAACACTGAATTTTTTTGGCGTCGAATTTTAAACACTGAATTTTTTTAGCATCGAATTTTAAACACTGAATTTTTTTAGCATCGAATTTTAAACTGAATTTTTTTAGCATCGGATTTTAAACTGAATTTTTTTAGCATCGAATTTTTAACACTGAATTTTTTTAGCATCGAATTTTAAACACTGAATTTTTTTAGCATCGGATTTTTAACACTGAATTTTTTAGCATCGGATTTTTAAAACTGAATTTTTTTAGCATCGAATTTTAAACACTGAATTTTTTTAGCATCGCATTTTAAACAATGAATTTTTTTATCATCGAATTTTAAACACTGAAATTTTTTGGCGTTGAATTTTAAACACTGAATTTTTTTGGCGTCGAATTTTAAACACTGAATTTTTTTAGCATCGAATTTTACACTGAAATTTTTAGCATCGAATTTTAAACACTGAATTTTTTTAGCATCGAATTTTAAACACTGAATTTTTTTAGCATCGAATTTTAAACTGAATTTTTTTAGCATCGGATTTTAAACTGAATTTTTTTAGCATCGAATTTTTAACACTGAATTTTTTTAGCATCGAATTTTAAACACTGAATTTTTTTAGCATCGGATTTTTAACACTGAATTTTTTAGCATCGGATTTTTAAAACTGAATTTTTTTAGCATCGAATTTTAAACACTGAATTTTTTTAGCATCGAATTTTAAACAATGAATTTTTTTAGCATCGAATTTTAAACAATGAATTTTTTTAGCATCGAATTTTAAACAATGAATTTTTTTAGCATCGAATTTTAAACACTGAATTTTTTTAGCATCGAATTTTAAACACTGAATTTTTTTAGCATCGAATTTTAAACACTGAATTTTTTTAGCATCGAATTTTTAACACTGAATTTTTTTTAGGCATCGAATTTTAAACAATGAATTTTTTAGCATCAAATTTTAAATACTGAATTTTGTAGCATCGGATTTTAAACACTGAATTTTTTAGCATCAGATTTTAAACAATGAATTTTTTAGCATAAAATTTTTAACATTTAATTTTTTTAGCATCGAATTTTAAGCACTGAATTTTTTTAGCACCTTTTTTTATCCGTTGAAAATTCCCCTGCAAAAAATTCAGCTGCAAATGTGTTGACCTTTAACAGAAAAAACTGCTAATTCAGCTTCTTTCAGCTGGGAACAAATCTATGCCCAACTGTTGTGTCACGTGACCAAATTAGCTAATTTCATTGGCTAGAAGCTGCTCAACGGCATTGAGAGTAGATGCTTTGCTTGAATTCACCAACAGGTCAACATATTTGCAGTTGAATTTTTTGCACCAGGAAAAAAATTCTGTGTTTAAAATTCGGTGTTAACAAAAAAAGGCAGATTCCAAAGAGATAGTTTTTCTGCCATAGTTCAGTCTCTTTCTGTCCCGCTCTGCGCTGCCAGGGGCCCAACAGACATCAGCGTAGAGGAGGGCTGATGCCACCACAGAGTTAGAGAAGGTTTGAAGCAGGAGCCGCTCACTCTGAAGGAGCTCCGCCTCCTCAGGAGGTGGAGGGAGGCTCTGGCCCTCCTTCTACAGGGCGTCGCTGTTATGAGTCCAGGCTATTATTGATGTGAACACCCAGGGATTGCAAACTCTCCACAGATTCTATGTCCCGCCCCTGGATGTTCACGGGGGGGTGAGGTGGGGGTCTCCTGAAGTCCATCACCGTCTCTCTGGTCTTACTGGTGTTCAGATACAGGTGGTTCTTTTACACCAGTCCACAAAGTTCATGATGATCCAGGCAGCCGGATGTCTGTCCCCTCCAGCTTCCTCCTCCAGCAGCTCTGCTCTGATGGTGTTGAAAGTCAAAGAACGTGTGAAGGGTTAATAATAATAACCCCTTATTGTCCTAGGAAGGAAAACCTTACAGAGAAAGTTTCTTGTCGGGAGAAAAGAGAAGGAGAACAGACCGAGGATGGGGCTCCTTGAAAAGTACTCTACTGCAGAAACCTCCTTTCTGCTGCTTTATTATTGGACTTCAAAGGAATAACAGGAGGGGTCAGAGGTTACCAGGAGGGGTCAGAGGTTATCAGGAGGGGTCAGAGGTTTACACATGATAGAGCATGACAGTTCCTTGTGCAGTTTTATTGCAGGTGATGATCAATCAGCTGCAACCACACAGGCTGGAGAGAACATGACTTTTCCTTTTCTGGGATTTCTTCATTCCTAGCGGGCCAAATGCTCTGAACTTATAAAATGATAACATACATTTTTCTAGAAACATGAGTCTCACTGTGCTGCAGGTGGGTGAGCACCCGCTGCAGCAGGTAGATGATGGTGTCTTCTATTCCCATGTTGGACAGATCTGCAAACTGCAGCGGGTCCAGGGCGGGGCTCAGCATGGTGGAGCTAGAATGATGCGCTTCATGGTCTTCATCAGGTGGGAGGTCAGGGTGACTGGTCCAAAGGGGGCCAGTCCCTTGGCATGCGGCGTGTTGGGGACCGGTACCCCACAGGGAGGGGGCCACCCGCAGGCGGAGGCTCAGGTTATAGACGTAGCTGAGGACCTCAGAGCTGGTCTGCATGAGTCCTCTGAGGGTCGCCGTCCGGTCCTGAGGTTTTCCTCTGTTGAAGGGCATCTGAGGGAGGACTGAAGGTATGGATGGTTCAGGGGTTGGTCAGAGTGGCGGCGGGGGGAGGGTAGGTATCTGGGAGACCTGAGGTTTGTAGATGTGTTCAAAGCTGATGATGTTCTGCTCCAGCTGCTCCTGCATCTTCCTCCCATGATGCCCTGATCCTCCACTGGAGCTCCTGCTGCTCCTCTCTGTCCCCTGAGGGCCCAGAGCCTTGGACCAGTTACCTGAAGGTCCACAGAGGTATACCAGACCAGAACCCAGACACATTTAAGATCTGTTGACGACTGAAAGTTTATTAGATTAGGATATTATTCCCCCCATTAACGGATGATTCCAGTTTCTCAATTATTTGTCTTGTAGTGTTACTATCGTCCACTAGAGGGTGTTGTTCACTCACTGTATTTGTTGCAGTGGTGCCTCCAGAAGTGTTTCGGGGGAGGGGGGGGGGTGGCAGATGAGGCCACTAAAAATCTTGGGGTGGCCACTGAAACTAAAAGCCATCATTTCAGGGTTTGAATCTTTTATTGTGGTAAACCTGCCTGTAGAAATTGTTGTTGCAACCTTTCTGAACCCTCCAGCAACTTTTTGACAGAAAAGCAACAAATCCAGCAACATTTTCTTTCTATGTTTGAGACTTTAGTGAAAAAAACATGAAAGCACCGCCTGCTCATGCAGCCCATCCCCCACTGATGGAGACTCAACATTTTATCTCATCCCCACCAGTTAAAATTAGATTTAGCTCTCTTATGTTTGTTTTTTTAAACTTTTGCACCAAAATAGATCCTCTCTGCATTTAATTCACGCAAAGCCTCCCAGCTGGTAAACAAACCCCAACCCTGTTTGCAAAAACTCATCATTCATTAAACATGTCTGCATTACCCAGAGAGCTAAGCTAAGTCACACTTAGCATCCATCATCCAACGAAGTGGAAAACAGTTTGACTGTATGTCAGAGCGACACCCTCTGAGTTTTACATCATTTCATGTTTTACATGTTATTATGTACAGCACAATGGAAATGTTAAATAGGCTTTATGTATATTTATATAGATAGATATATAATTAAAAACTAAATAAAACTCCTATCAGATTTATAGTCCCCACACTGCAGATATATTAGAATCTGTCCTTAAATTCCAGCCAAACCCATTTACACAGTAACAGATTAAAACCTTTAGATAAACCAAACATTGCCGCCACATATCTGACTCTATAACCATTAAAACAATTATTTTCATTCATTTCAGACGGAACTATTCACAGATTTCTATTATATTAAACTGAACTTCCAATGTTCACCACTGTTCTGCATAAAGAACGGAGCAGCGGACTTGGTCTCGCAATGAATCCTGGGATATCCAAGGGTATGGAGGATACATGCTGAAATCAGGCTAAAAGAAGGACGCATATGTAGGCCGCATAACGAGGAGTCTTGGAATCTGACGAAACTTCGGCACCGCGCTATGATGTAATCGACCTTTGAATCTGGCCTTCAGAGGACGCAGCCCATAAATTCGAACAGAGCCTCAGTTCTTTCTAGTTACCTCTAGATCCTGATGTTTCCCCCTGGTTATTCTCTGCTGCCCCCTAGTGTCCTTTCCCCTAAGCTCCTTCTAGTTACTCTCTCCACACCTGCTCCCTATTAGCTAATCAGTCCTTCCATTGTTCTGTCTCCCATATATTCACCTCCTGTTCAGTTCCTCATTGCTGGATCCTCGTCATTCTTTAGGTTTATTCCTTCTTAGGTTTTGGTTGCCGAGTTTCCTGCCCATCGTTTCTGGATTATGGCTTCTCTATTTTTACTGCTCCATTTCGCTCTTCAGTTCTGCATTTGTGTCCACTACAACATCACTCAAGCTTGACAATCTAAAGTTAAATATACATCTAAATGTAAAACTTATATCTCAGCCCAATATGTTTTTTTCAGTATTTTTTATTTTCATTCTAATGTCACAAGTACAGAGCAACGATATTCACTGTCTCCATTTTAACCCCTACCCTTGGGGAGCAGTGGGCTGCCATTGTGCGCTGCCCGGGGAGCAGTGTGGGGTTAAGGGTCTTGCTCAGGGGCCCAAACTGGCAGCTCATTCTGGATACAAACTCAGGCTTCCTGTTTGCAGGACGAGTGACTTACCACTTGCCCTAGCCAGCAGCATATACCCTAAATCTTAAATGTAAATATAAATCTGATGAAGACCATGGAGCGGCTCGTCCTCAGTCACCTCCGCACCACAGTGAGCTCTGCTATGGACCCCATGCAGTTTGCTTACCGACCTGGCATTGGTGTGGAGGACGCCATCATCTCCACCCTGCATCGCTCTCTGTCCCACCTGGAGAGGCCCGGCAGCGCTGTGAGGATTCTCTTCTTTGACTTCTCCAGCGCCTTCAACACCATCCAGCCGAGACTCCTGAGAGACAAGCTGGAGACTGCAGGAGTGGACTGTGACCTGGCCGACTGGATCCTGGACTATCTCACAAACCGGCCCCAGTTTGCGAGGACGGGAGACTGTGTCTGACATGAGGACCTGCAGTGTGGGGGCCCCCCAGGGAACGGTCTTAGCGCCCTTCCTTTTCACCCTCTACACTGCAGACTTCAGACACAACAGGGACAGCTGCGTCCTGCAGAAGTTCTCCGACGACTCCGCCCTCATTGGCCTCATCACAGATGATGACGACGCGGAGTACAGAGGACTCATTCAGGACTTTGTGGACTGGTGTCAGCTGAACCACCTCCTCATAAACGCGGGAAAGACCAAGGAGATGGTGGTGGACTTCAGACGCCGTCCCACCGTCCCTCCCCCAGTGAACACCCAGGGAAAGGACATTGAGAGGGTGGACACTTACAAGTACCTGGGTGTTCATCTCAACAACAAACTGGACTGGACTCACAACACGGAGGCTCTGTACAGGAAGGGCCAGAGCCGGCTCTACCTCCTGAGGAAGCTCAGGTCTTTTGGGGTGAGAGGGCCACTCCTGAAGACCTTCTACGACTCTGTGGTGGCATCAGCCATCCTGTACAGTGTGGCCTAGTGGGGCAACAGCATCACGCAGAGGGACAGGAAAAGACTGGACAAGATCATCAAGAGGTCCAGCTCAGTCCTGGGCTGTCCTCTGGACTCTGAACAGCAGGTGGGGGACAGGAGGGCCCTGTCCAAACTCATGTCTATGCTGGACCATGAGGACCACCCCCTGAAGGACACTCTCTCTGCTCTGGAGAGCAGCTTCAGTGAAAGACTGATACACCCTCGCTGTATAAAGGAGAGATTCCGCAGATCCTTTCTTCCTGCTGCTGTCAGACTGTACAACCAACAATGCTAGCTCCGTATCAACCGTATGTCCACCGTCACTTTACCTGTTATTATTGCATATCTATTGTATACTTCACTCATATCTATTTAACTCTGCAATAATTTAGTACAATCAATCATTTGCACAGAACTTTACTGTTGTCACTTTATACCAGTGTTTGCAACCTTAGCCTTAGCCATTTAACTGTTCACACCAAGTGTGACGGTCTTGTCTGTATATACTTAATGTATATTTTTTTATATATATTTTTAAATATTTTTTATACTTTGTATTCTTCTTTTTTCCTACTGTACTGTTCACTGTGATGCAACGCTGCAATTTCCCCACTGTGGGACAAATAAAGGATTATCTTATCTTAAATCTTGAATTTAAACTCTAGATCTAAATTTGAACCTAGAATCTAAATATTAGTTATTAAATTTAAATTTTAAATTTCCAACTAGCCATGCCCCTTTAATGGCTCAACAGGTGGCCACGCCCCCAATGACTCAACTCAGGTTTGCCTCAACAGCAGTGGCGGTTCTAGACCAAATGTACCAGGGGGCCATTCATAGTTTAGGAATTTAACATATTTTTGCCATAATTTAAGGTAAGATTACAGTTTCCTATAAAATCTGAATTAGAACTCAAGAAAAACTGATAAATTCAGCTGTAAAAATTTAAGCAATTTGTATTGAAAAAAAAAAATCATTTAGCAGAAGAAAACTGGGATACTATCTCAATACCAGTGAAGCTGTCAGCTTATTGCTTTTAAATATTTAGAAAAAAAACCCTGAATTTGTAAAGAAAAAAATGAAATAGATCCAAAGGACCTATCAGTTTGTTCCAGCGCAGATCATCATTACAATTTCTTTCAATATTATGTCTTCAGTACAGGGGCCATGACAGGGGCCAGGACATTATCTACAGGGGCACTGGCCCCCGTTGGCCCCTGTCTAGAACCGCCCATGCTCAACAGATACCTCCTTTATCATCAACCTTTTTTGTAGACCGATTAAAACATCAAACAATTGAAAACAAAGTGCTGAACTTTGTTAAAAATCCTAAAATATTCAATAAAAGAATGAAATGAAACCTAAAGATATAAAATAAGATGATAATAAAAATAGTTTTAACTAAATAAACAGGATAACAACAACCAAGTCCTGCCAGTGAGGCTCACCAGCAGAGACTCAGTTTGTTTAAAGTTTAAAAGATCAGTAAAAAAAACCGAAGCTGAGGCAGACGAGCAGCCGAACACCGACGCCATCTTGGCACTTAGATTTATAAGATTTAGATTTAACATGCATGTTTAGATTTATTTAAATGTTTAAAATGCATATCAAGCATATGTTTTTAATGTTAGAAAAATGCACTAAATGCTTAAGTAGTTAAATGAGAAAAACAGGAAATTCTTTGAAGCTTTTCTTTCGCTTCAAAAGCATCAAAAATAAATAAAAAGCTAAATATTTTAAAACAGTGTAAAGATTAAAAATACTATAAGATGCAGCCAGAATATGTCAGAATATGTCAAATAGCATCAATTATGGGGGAAAATGAAAATATTAATAAAACAGGAACTCTGTGATTTTACTCTGTAATGTTTTTTTAGCAGATTTTACCACATTAAAGTTCAGCAGTTTCTTCTGGTTAATCAACTGTTGAATGTTCTTGTGTTTTTGCTGATTATCGTTTGTTAATCTTATTCAGATCCCTAAGAGAGAGAGAGAGCGATGAGGCTGCAGATGCTCGACTTCCTGTTGGTGAGAAGCTGAGAAATGATCTGAGTTCAGCAGCAGGATCATCTCCTCGTCGTTCCACCAACATGAAGCTGCTTCAGTTCATCTTCATCCTCCAGCTGAGCTCCTTCTGTAGAGGTAAACCTTAAACCTTTATAAACTATTTATAAGCTTTAAAAACGGTTTCCTTTAACAACTTTTGCACTTTTGAAAATGTGAAAATGAGAGTTAAGTGTGAGTCTGCTTGGTTTTTTATTTCATTCAGGATGAATCTTCCTTTTGGTCTCGGCTCTTCTGTTTTTTTCTTTCAGTTTTCCTTTAAGTATTTAAACTTTGATAAATTATTGGGTCACTTTTGTTTGGATTTTAACCTGAAAGCCTGCTGGTGAAGATTCTCAGTCATCCAAGTTAAAGTCATTCCATCCCCTGGACTTTGTTTCCAAGTTTGAATTCCTCTAAAAAGGCTTTTTTTGTTGGGCTGCTGGATAAAACCTGGAACTAAACAATATTTCTGACATTTTCAATTGAAAAATCTTCCTGGATGGAAGAGAAACGTCTTCAAACTTGGAAGCAAAGTCCAGTGGATTGATTTCAGTTTCTTTATACCAGGTTTTATTATTTTAAGTTTGTTTTAGGTAATCTGTATCTTTTTAAAGATGTTTAAAGTGGAGATTAAACAGCTTTGATAAAGTGAAACCAGCCAATGGAACTTCCCCAGTGTCTGTGGCGGATGGGTTTGCTGGGAAGAAGCTTGTTGCTATAAATAATGTCGGCCATAAATCAACATTTCTTAAATTAAGTGTATTTACCCTTAATTTGAGCAGGTAAATAAGATTATTTGCCAATGGAATGAGTATTTTTTTCTCTTAAAAAATAAGATAATTAGATAAAATGCTCTTGAATTGAGGCAACAGTTTTTCTTATTTTAAATGTAAATTGTCTTGTTTTATTGGCAAAGTGTCTCACCTCCTCGATTCAGCAACAAATGCACTTATTTTAGGAAAAAATGACTTATTTAGATGTTATTTTTTTGCAGTGAGAGAAATTAAAAGCCCTGCTTTCATTATTTCAGCGTCTCTTAATGCTTCCACTCAAGCAGCTGAAACTCCTGGGAGGAATGAAACAGAGAAACCTGGAACCTTCAGCCGTGAGTAAAGTGATTCTCTGCTGTTATTTTCCCGACGCTTCGGTCCGCCATCAGGAGTGGCACCCTGCAGAGGTCATGTGATGCTGCTGCAACGACAGGATGTGGGGAGGCCTGTTTAGGAAATGCACTGGGCGGATTGTGCAGGTGCAAATCAAACTGAAATGGCAGAACATGCGGCGCTCCCACGCAGGCCTCTGTGCTCTGCAAAACAAAGCTGCTGCTAGTGAGACAAACAGCTTCAGTTTGAGCCCACAGGTCATCATCTCAGCTGCAGGATTACAGAAAAGGAGGCAGGGGATTAAAAAAAAGGATTTATATAAGATGAAAGTGGTGAGTGAGTTTTTATAATGAGGTATTTCTTTACCAGACCTCAGATTCACACTTATTCCTGTCCATCATATCGCCTTTAAGACTGGACTGCAGCACCTGATCTTATCTGGATATTTATTTCCTTTAACAACCTCCCTTTCAGAGACATAGACAGGTATGGGGCATTGCAAGCTAGCAAAAGAAGCCAAACGACCCTCGACGAAAACACAGACCTAAGACTACCATCGAGGCACTAAGGAGCCCTGAAGACCTCTGAATGGGTGGAGATGTTTAGAAATCAGATCTAAATCAGATCCAAAAAGATATAAATACTCTCTATGTTAGAAAAGTTACCAGTAATCTCGCTCCATGAGTGTCTGGGCAGGAAACAGTTTATCAGACGAGCTCTGCACCAATTTTTATGTCCAATTATGAAAGAGAGAAGATCCAGGTAGTCCCAATAGATGCTGAGCCCATAGCTATAGAAGAGAAACAGGACTACACTGGAAAACAGGCCAAGCTCCAACATCTAGAAACAAAGGTGTTGATGGCAGCAGCACAGCTGATATTTCTCTCCAGGATGGAGTCACAGCCAAACAGGAACAGACCAGATGAAGCTACTATGAGAAAAAGCAGAGAGAGCAGAACGTTAGAGATTGAACTAACAGATTCTGCAGAGTGGGAGAATAGAGATAGAATGAAGCAGAATGATGAAAAAGGGGTCCCTATGTCCTCCAGCAGTCTAAGCCTATAGCAGCAGAACTATAGAGATAGCTCAGGATAACCTGAGCCACTCTAACTAGAAGCTTTATCAAAAAGGAAAGTTTTAAGCCTAGCCTTAAAAGTAGACAGGGTGTCTGCCTCACGGACTAAAACTGGTAGTTGGTTCCACAGGAGAGGAGCCTGATAACTAAAAGATCTGCCTCCCATTCTACTTTTAGAAATTCTAGGAACCACTAGTAAACCTGCAGATTGAGAGCGAAGTGCTCTGTTAGGAACATAAGGAACAATCAGATCTCTGATATCAGATGGAGCTTGGCTATTTAAGGCTTTATATGTGAGAAGGAGGATTTTAAATTCTATTCTGGATTTAACAGGAAGCCAATGAAGAGAAGCCAGGATAGGAGAGATATGATCTCTCTTTTTCATTTTCATCAGAACTCTGGCTGCAGCATTTTGGATCAGCTGAAGGCTTTTAACTACAGTTTGTGGACTTCCTGATAGTAAAGAATTACAATAGTCCAGCCTTGAAGTAACAAATGCATGGACTAGTTTCTCAGCATCACCCCTGGACAGGAGATTGCTCATTTTAGCAATGTTCCTCAGATGAAAGAAGGAAATTCTAGAAACCTCTTTGATATGGGATTTAAATGACAGGTCCTGATCAAAAATAACACCAAGATTTTTTACTTTATTATCTGAAATCAGTTTAATCCCGTCCAAATGAAGCGACTGGCTAATCAGCTTCTTTTTCAGAGACTCTGGTCCAAAGACTATAACTTCTGTTTTGTCTGCATTCAGAAGCAGAAAGTTAAGAGTCATCCAGGTTTTTATGTCTTCAGACATGCCTGTAATCTATGTAATGGGTTAGCTTCATCTGGATTTATAGACAGATATAGCTGGGTATCATCAGCATAACAGTGGAAATTAATCCCATGCTGTCTAATAACTCTACCAATTGGGAGCATGTATAAAGTAAAGAGAATTGGTCCTAGCACTGATCCCTGTGGTACTCCACAGGTAACCTTTGAGCATGAGGAAGATCTATCATTAACATGAACAAACTGAATTCTATCAGATAGATCAGATTTAAACCAGTCTAGAGCTGTTCCTTTAAACAACAAAATATTCAAGTCTTTCTAAAAGAATATTATGATCAACTGAATCAAATGCAGCACTAAGATCCAACAGGACGAGCACAGATACAAGTCCATTATCTGAGGCCATGAGAATATCATTAGTGACTTTCACCAGAGCTGTTTCAGTGCTATGATGAGCTCTAAAGCCAGACTGAAACTCTTCAAAAAGTTCATTATGGTGGAAGTGATCGCAAACTTGTTTGGCAACTACTTTCTCAAGAATTTTGGATAAGAAAGGAAGATTGGATATAGGTCTATAATTGACCAAGTCATCTGGGTCAAGAGACGGTTTCTTAAGCAGAGGTTTAATTACAGCAACCTTAAAAGCTTTAGGTACATATCCCTGTAACAGAGATAGATTAATCACATCTAGAATGGAGGAGGAGATCAAAGGGAATGCCTCCTTAAATAACCTGGTTGGAACCGGATCTAACATCCAAGTTGAAGCCTTAGATGAAGACAATAGTTTTGCTAACTCTGAAAGTTCAACTGGATCAAAGCAGTCTAAACCGGTTCAGTTTCCATGACTACCTCAGATGCTGCCCCCCCCCCACCCTCCAGAGACAAACCAATCGCAGATAGAGGAGTGTTAATGATCCTATTTTTAAAAAAATCAATTGTATTTATAAAGAATCCCATAAAATCATTGCTGCTAAGAGCAGGTGGAATGGACGGTTCAACAGAGCTATGGCTCTGGGTGAGTTTGGATACTGGATTAAAAAGAAATCTAGGATTATTCTTATTCTCCTCTATTAATGAGGAGAAATATGCTGCTCTTGCTTTACAAAGGGTCCTCTTATACAGCAGTAAACCATTTTTCCAGACTAGGTAGGATTTATAGAAATAGAATAGAAAATCCCTTTATTGTCCCAAAGTGGGGAAATTGTGTGGTTAAAATCATTAAAAGGTTTTACTGGGGAATAGAAATGTAGATGTTTAAGACTTTGTTTAGTAAAAGCTGCTTCTGTATGAGTAACAACCATTGAGAGAAGTTAGATCTGTTTGTTGTAGATGTATTTGGTGCCCAGTGTCGTCCTCTGTCTGTCTCAAGGTCGTTCCTTTCATTCGTTCTTCTTGTAACCTTTGAACTTCAATCTTTAATGTTTTTCTTGATCCCTTTCCCTGCTTTGCAGATCTGCTGAAACAATTTAAAACAATAATCTGTGTTTCATGTTACGCCGATGATAATCAGCTCGCCGTTGCTAGATGTGCAAAGCCCTTTTTGCAAATAGGATCTAGATCTTATTTTGGTTTTCCTCTGGTTAAATAAAGGAAATGAACTGTCGTAACTTTCTGGTCCAGACGACCGACACTACAAAACAAACAAGTTTCTTTTTTAGGGCAGAAAAACTATTTTCAGTTGCTTAAAACCTGAAAAAAAAATTAAATATAGGGCAATACTTTTAGTCAGTTCGGAAATCCTGAATCCTTGAACATTATTGAGTACCAATAACTATACCTTTAGATTAGAGATTAGGCAAAGGTTTCGCTAACTTAAATTTAAGCTGTAAAATGTAGGAAAAACAAGTTTTGGATTAGGAGTTAGAAGCTGAATGCTGTTTTTTTTAATGTTTAATTCTAGCAATAAAAATGGCTGCTAAAGAGAAGCTACCAAACAAAATAACATTATACTTTCTGCACCAAGAGAATAAAGTATTACATTCATTTCTTAAAATAACTACAACATGCCTTAAGTAACCAATGGGCGGGGCCTGAGTGGACAAGTGGTTAGAAAGTGGAGCACTTCCTTAATGGAAAGCAGAGGTTAGAATCTCAGACTTTTACTTTCTCTAAAACAAGAGAAGTTTGGTAAAAACGCTCTTGACCAATTCCCCCATGAAGGGAAAAACTTAAAATAAATTCTTAAAGTCGTAGGGAAATGAAATAATCCCAAAATCTAGAAACTTTCTATTTAAAAAAAAAGAATTCTGTCTTAAAATCTGTGTTTTCTTTGTTATCCTCTACAGGCCAGTTAGTTCTACGTCAGCCTGAACACCTAAATTCGGCCAATCATATATCAACGGTCATCTGTCAATCAAATGTTTTCGGTCATAGCATCTTGATTCATGTGTTGCAGCTAATATACGCAACGGTTGAAATCAGAATCCTTTCCTTTCCCATTGAGTTGCGTCCCAGTGTTCACGGGGATGGACGTCTGTGTCTTCGGCAGGCGTAGAGCTAACAGAACTGGCAGCGTTGCGAGGCAAGGGCTCAAACATGTACGGCTGGAAGCCTTCTACACCAAACCAAGCTTCTGCCGCCCTGGCGTCCTCTTCCACAACATCTTCGTCCCCGCTTTCCTCCTCTAAATAAAAAATGGATGACGGAGGAGACTCATCCACGACCTCCGACACTAAACTCTCCTCCTCTTGCATGTTTCCGCTGTCCATAGCGTTCCTTGACAGCGTCATTTCTAAGTCACCAATTTAGTGCTACTTGGTCCCAATGGAATTTCCCATTGGGAACCTGCTAGCACTAAGTTGCTAACTGGTTAGCAAGATGCTTCCTACAAACTGGCCACAGCCAATCTGCTTGCAAACCTTCTGCCACAACAATCCCGCCCCCTTGATAAACGACCAATCACATTCACTTTATTCACTCGTGTAAAGTCGGGCACCACTGGGGAGAATTCGGAAATGCAACGTTTGGAACAGCCGCTTCCCTACGACTTTAAACTGACAATGCCCACGTGCATGGCAGCTGGATGCTGGAATACATCGGGTAAAAGTGAAAAAAAGAGTTATTCCACCTTTCTGATTCCTGATCCTCCACGGACGGGTTGGTCGTTGGATCGCCAACTTGTAGAGGGAGGATTTGCCATCGAACTTCTGGCCAGAGAAAAAACCCGTAATATGTAGCCAACATTTGGAAGAAGAATGTTTTCAAGATGACTTGGATAATAGCGCGTTGTGACAAACACCAGATACAGCACTGGGACTTGATCAACAGCCGATACCGCACCGTGACAATGTCACTAACCAGTAGGTGGCAGTAGTGTTCTTTGACAAACATGGATGCCTCCAGTAAAGCACATTCACATGAAAATGACTCTGAATTAAAAACACTGATCATTTATTGAACAGGATGGAATCATTTCAGATTTAAAGAACTTTCAGAAGTTTGGATCCTGAATATGAGCGACTTTTCCTTTAAGTAAGAAGTTTTGATATTTGTGGTTTATTCTTTATATTTTCTTAGTCCCCAAAATGTTCACATAAATCGGACAAATCCAGGATTCCAAGTTTCTATGGCAACGTCTGACAAACTTTAAAGCAAAACCTAAATAATAAAACTGAAGTCCTAAATGGAAACTGTTCTGCCAACTTTTCCGTTTATTTTTTAAGTGCAGGGTTGGTTTTCAGTTTGGGATGCAGGATCTTCATCGTTGGGAATTTCTCCTCCTCATCCTTTGCTTCTGTTTTTCTGTCTCTCAGCGAACCTCCAGGTTCATCATCTGAATGTTAGATGCAGATGGACTCTCAGGCTGCAGGGAAACAGGAGCGACGAAGCGGTTTCCCTTCCACGGATGTTTTTCGACGACGTGGCAAAGAGGATCTGCCTGGATCTGAATTGTGGAAGACCTCATGTGATACAGAAATCCACGCCTCCCCCCGGCAGCAGCTGCTTCCACGGCTGTTTGTACCACAACCTGAGTCTGCATAGCTGCACTGAGGCTGTGGGGACAGGCTGCATCCTGACCTCTGAAGTGGTTTGTGGTAAGGCTTTCCTGTAAAAATGTAAACTTCCGTAAGTTTGAAAAATAAATCAAGACAAAAAAAAAAATAGGCTGCATGGTTTAAAAATAGGGTTTAAAAGCTTTCCACTGGTGAAACTGAAGCTTTCACTATTTGAAATGAAACTATTTCCCTGATCTTAGCCTCTCCAATCCCACCGGGTTGCCGGCAACCTGTTTTAAGGCAACTAATAACTCAGAATGCTAAAACTTTCACCAATATAGATGTTAGACATCGTTGGAAAGCTTAGATTCTCCACAATTAAAGCCCCAAGTACATTTTATGGACACAGCGAGCAAAAAAAGCACAATTAACACAGATATAGCAGCATGTCAACATGTAAACATGACAAAGCAGCAACAACGAGCAAGCATGACTTTATTAGTGCTGCTCAAAAAATAAATATTATTTTAGAGAATAAAAAATAATCTTTGAGCCACGTTTGAACAGCTTGGGGTTTTTAAACATGTAATTTAGGTTTATAGTTCCTCAGTTATTTGCTTTTCCATTTGGGTTTCAGAATAGGTAGAATTTCCCAAAATGAGATGGATGCTCAAGAAAGTTAAATAAAAAAAAAATAAGCCAGTCAGTCAGTTTTGACATAAACCTGAGTCTGTTAATTATTGGTTAATTTAATAAGACGGTATTTAAATAAGGACAGAACAACTGCATTATCTTATTATAATTAAAGACTAATTAGTGATCAGACGGCGTTCAGGTGTAACAGCCAGGTAATGTGGTCCTCAGGTCATCAGTCCCTCCGGCTGTCAGGTCACGAGGACGGCTGCGCTGGACGGGTGGAGGTCTGGAAGAACGGGAAATGGGGAACAGTGTGTGACGACGGCTGGGATCTGAGAGACGCTGAGGTGGTCTGTTCCCAGCTGGGCTGTGGGAACGCCGTCAGGGTGACGGGTCAGGGGGGGCTGTTCCCTGCAGGGAGAGGACCGGTTCACCTGGATGAGCTGAACTGCACCGGCAGCGAGGAGAACCTGTGGGCCTGCAGGGCGGAGCAGGAGGAGAACGACTGTGGACACAAGGAGGACGCTGGTGTGGTTTGCTCAGGTCAGAATATGGTTTACATCCATCCATCATCCATCCATCATCCATCCATCATCCATCCATCATCCATCCATCATCCATCATCCATCCATCATCCATCCATCATCCATCCATCATCCATCATCCATCCATCATCCATCCATCATCCATCCATCATCCATCATC